AACTACATTAAGGTATAACTTAAAATATATTACGATTGAAAATTACCAAAAACAAAAAGAAAGAACAAAATGTGATCACATTTAAGTATACATTTTGGATACCCTACTACACACCATGTGGATGCTACATCTCTAATAAACGAATGTACTACAAAGAGTAAGTACAGGCCGGGAAAAGTAGTGAGTAAAGTCGTAGGCTAAGTTAGTTATGGATCAAATCAGATCACTTAGGCCCAGCATAAGCCGTGATGCGAACTGCGATGATTAGGGATGACGGTATGTATGCAACAACTCTAATATACGAGAGTACGACGAAGAGTTATTTATAAGCACAGGCCGGGCAAAGCAATGAGTACGTCTTAGGTAAAGTCAGTTATGGATATAATTCAGATCACTTATGCCAAAGCCAGGCTACGATACGAACTATGATGATTAGGGATGAAATTATGTATGCAACAACCCTAATATACGAGAGTGCGACGAAAAGTTATTTGTAAATGCAGATCGAGCATAGGTTAAGTCAATTATAGCGCGATTCAGGTCACTTATGCCAAGCACAAGCTGTGATGATTAGACATGAAAGTATGTTTGCTATATCTCTGATATACGAGAGAATGACGAAGAGTTATGTTTAACCACAGGTCGGGCAAAGTAATGGGTATTTCATAGGTTAAGTCAATTATAGAGCAATAGAGATCACTTATGCCAAACACAACTGGGGATGAAAGTTTCAATTTAGTTAAGCGGGAAAATTTCGAAAGCATTCTCCAAATCCTCAGTGTGTAAACCTAAGCATATTTTTCATATCAATTGAAGCGATGTTGGCAGCAGAGGACGGAAGTAAGGGCCCACGGTAGTAGAGCTGCCAAGATTATTATAAGATTATTATATTGCTTTTGGGAATCTCTAGAAGGCAGACTACTAATTATATAGATATAAGATACTGTGAGTAGCTTAGAGACACATGTATGTAAATATGAAACCGGAACTCTTATAAGGAAAAAAATATGCGTTCATTGTATCAAAAAAAAAAAAAATTCATAAAATATTTTGTTGAAAGTATTACCTATAGCTAGGTAAACATTTTATTCGTGTGACTGACAATTTGCGGAGGCTACAAGTGTTTTGTATTTCTTAACAAATATGGTAATTGAAAAAACTCGAGCCTGCATTGATGTGAGATGGAAATCTTCTTATCAGAGTTCAACTAGCAATGTCAGTGAAGATTATTTATATTGTAGGAGAGATCTCTTGAACCCTTCGATATATGATTTGAGCGGACCAAACTAACTCATTTGCCCTACAGTACAGTACACTTGTACTTGTACAACTGCCTTGGTATCTAAAGATATCTGATATTCTCTAATACTGCAGCCGCTTGATATTATCTTCTCATCTTACACATCTCAAAGAATTTTCGGTTGTTAATTTGCTGAATAACAGAAGAAGAAGAAAAAGAAAATATTATCTTCTTCTTTTTTTTCTAATCGCAAATCACGATTTAGTTACAAATTATTCGATTAAATTTGGCAATCATCCAAATTAACAAAAAAAAAAGAAAAGGACGTACGGACTTACGAAAAAATCACTTTGCACTTTGTAACCAATCTCTTGATAAATTCATCACATTTACAGGGTTCTACGTCTTTTATGGTCAAGTTGTAACATTTTTCTTTATTTTTTGCATTTTCGTTACACTATTGACTGTAATGTGATATTAAAAAAAAAAGAAAAAGAGCATCGAGAGAAATGGACCTTTTTCTTTTTTTCTCATTCATTTCGTTCGCTTGTTAAAAACAAAAAGAGTTAAAAATTTTTTAATTTATACATAATGCGTATTAAGTGTAATTGTTTGGGTTCTGAAGGTGATGTGCCAGGGCTGGCGCGAATGCCTGGAAATGGAAATGGTTAAATTGGTTTTAGGTCATGGATATTCGTGTTCATATCATCGATACGGTCCGTGTAAATGTAATATTATAAAAATGCAATAAAGTTAATTGCAAAGCCGCAGCTAATTAATTAAATTTAATTCAATTGAATTTTTAGCATAGAATGAAAATTTACACTTTCATGTATTATGTCAAGAAAGTACCGGGTAGCATGACGATGCTACTCAGAATGCGGTCCGATGGTCAGGATAGGTAGAGGTAAGAAATGGCCCCAGCCCCAGAAAGGTGACCGAGCACTTACTATAGACACAACCCAACATGTACTGTAATTAAATTTTTGCTTACCGAATAGCTAAGGATTGAAATTCTGATTAAAGGATCGTAGGCTTGAAAGAATTTTTGCGATTCTGGCTTTGATCAAACAAAGAATTTGTTGGCGAAATTTTTGGCAAAATGTTAATGTTGGATAACCAATCATCCATAAGTATGTTCCTACAATGCAGAAATTACGAGACATTTCCTTTGCTATAGTACGAAAGCTTGTTCGACTATAGTCTTGTTCCGAAGAAAGTCGATCGTTTCCTCTCTTGTATAGAAATTATTAGCCAAAATTTCGGCTAATGTCGTTTTGTTTCCAAAGCAACTTGTAAATGGAAGCATGCTCGTGTGGCTTTTTGTCTCTCAAAAAGTGATTTGAAAGAGGTCCTTAAAGGAGATGACACCACCGTAAGGGTTAAGAAAAAAATCATTTTTTTTGACACAATTTCTTATTAGCATAGAAGAAGGTTTTCGATGAGATGATCAGGCATAAATTTAAGTATTAAAAAAAATTCTCGAAAATATATACTGCACGCAAATGATTTTATTTAAACACAAGCTTGCCTTGGCTAAGCTTGAATTTATTTCTTTGCTTTAAAAACTTTGTTCGAAAAAAGTAAAATTATTTTCTCGAAAATTCCCGTTACTTTTTTGACAATATATATTGCGGAAATATGATTTACTATGGCGTATCCCGTATACAACAAGTTAATAAAATAAAAATAAAAAAAATAAAAAATGATTAACAAATAAAAAAAAAAATGGTATGCAAGAGAACCATACATTCATCTTCGAGTAAATCCGGAATGCTCAGCATTTCATTATTTTTATTCAATATTAAGTGTGAGTAGACTTAAAAAGCAATTTTTACTGGACCCAATTTATGACACTCGATATCGATTCAACTCCATGATAATTTGACTATGTTACTCGAAAGCAATTTTACGATCGAAATATTTTCAAATCGATACTAAGTAAAATTGCATGCTATGTCGATAATTAATAGGTACCAAGTTTATTCACCTCCGATCTAAATTCTCAGTCAATACTTTTGAATTTACGAACGCTCATCCCACTTGTAAATTTCCTCAAAATTGAATGAAAAGGATTGAATCTTTAGATCAGACAATCCTCTGTAGGAAATGGCACAGTATCTTGGAACTGATTCGCTAAAAAACAGCTTATGTTGGCAGAAAAGATTGTCTTCTATTCGTCTATAAGCCCTGAGAGATTTGTCTGCTTGACACAAGTAATCCTGAAAGATTTTATTCAGAAATTCATATTCGACAGGATTTTTTAAAAACGTATACGTCCCGAAAGCAGTGCAACCTATTGAGTCAACACGTTTAAGTATCTAGTTTGCCTTGCTCTTGAAGTAAATTTAAAAGATCTTCTAAGAAATCTTGAACTTTTTTTCTCTTGATTCAGAAAACTGTATAAAAAGATTTTGAAGAATTTCTCAACTGTGCAATAATCAATAAATGATTATTCCATAGTTTGTTGCAGGCGAGAGAAAAGTTGAGTTAAAAAAGTTCCTACAAAGTGTTGGAAACTCGTTCCTGAAGCAATTCTTCATCGAGCAGTAGCTCACTTTCTTATACGAAAACATGTAAGAAAGTTATATTCGGCTGTGACCGAATTATTTTATTTGATACCCATATCGTTGGTATAGTTATCTACCGCGATTACATTTTAAAATTAACCCATTTTTAGGCCGATAATATATCTACATTTGAGGAGTGTACAAAATAGTTTTAGACATCCTATCTTGTTTGCCTTATGATAAATAGTTATAAAGCCTCAAGTTTTGAGAAAACTTAAATTTAATTACGTGTAACTTTGTGATGAAAGGGCCGATTGGTTCCATAGTTGGACCTAGAGAGGTAAGTGTCTCGCAAACTAATTGTGGAAAATTTAATTCTTTTAATATTAATAATATCCGAGTAAAGAGCAAAATTCCAAGAATTCTTACTAGAAAAAAACGAAGTTGCGTTCAATTTACGCACCAGTCGGAGCTTCTACTCTGACCAATTTGGTCTATTTTCAATATGAACCTGTGGGCAAAAAGATCAAACGTTTTTACAAAATTTGAAGTAGATATCTTTATTTTTGCGATCAGGCGAGTGCCAACAATACACAGGCATACATACGTACAGACGGACAGACAAGTCTATATTAATTCAGGATTGCAAACTGATCAAGAATATGTATACTTTATAGGATTTCTAAGGCTTTGCTTTGGGTGTTATATGCATTATAGAAATAATCTTACAGTGCTGGGTATAAAAGAAGCATTTTTCAACCACATTGCTGTTACAAATAATATAATATGTCTATTTAGATCTTTTAAGGGAGTATTTAAAAAATATATGAAAGTAAGCTTTAGCCTGAAAAGATTAGCTTTCCAAGTCTTATTAAAGAGGTGGATACCTTTTCTGACTAAACAAACTTCTTTTTATGGATGGATATAAAAAGAAGTTTGCTTTGTTTAGCTACATTTCGACGATTCCTCTTTTTTTGTGCTTGTAAGGAAAAAAAAAAAAAAAAATGGCTGCTATATATATCCAGGAAAGTGAAAAATGAGAAAATATTTTGAAAACCGCTTTCTGAAATTATATTTGAATATATAATAAAAACGAGTATATTTTCGTGCAAATACTTTGATAATTCAATTATAAACTAACAGAATCAGTTATTAACGATATATATATGTGTATGTGTGTATATTAGTATATGAAAATTTTAAATAATATTTCATATATAAGTGTGAGTATATGAAAAGCAGCATTTTACCTGTTTGTGGTTGTAATTCGATTAAACTGTTCCAGATACTGCGTGTAGCGAGCGTATAATAACCGATTTCAGCATTCGGATGTAAACCAAATACATCCGGTTTATTTACCAAAGCTAATTTGTCAATATGCTCTGTGAGGTGGTAGAAAAAAAAAAAAAAATAAAATAAATATATATATAGATATATATATATATATGAGATATACACAAAACTTTTCAAATCATAGTTTCGTGTAAATGTTTACGTTTGTACGTACCTATGAAATCTTCTTTTAACACTGTTTCCTCCTCTGGCAAACAATAATCGGTATGCTCGTCAATGTAAAAGTGAAACGGTTGAAAGGTGTCGAACAGGAAATCACCCATATATTCATTCATATAAGTGCGTGTAATACGACGATCAAAATCATCAATCACACGTCCGCCATACATAACCTAAAAAAAGTGTTTTGATTTGTTTTTTTTTTTTTTTTTGTTTACATGTGAATTGAACGTAACAGTGCTTTACCTCGCCGATTAAATATTTTAAACTATTCCACGGTACACGTTCATCGGTAATGCGATTTAAGTAGGTTTGCAAGATTTCCAGGCAAACATTAAAATCCGATTCATTGAAATCGTAACTTATATTCCAACCTAATTTATCGTATTTACGTCGTTCCTTTCATACGCACACACACACACGTTTACAATATGTATTGATATAAACAAAAGAAAATCAAAAACAAAAAAAAAAAAGGAAAAAAGGGAAAAAAGAAGAAGAAGAAGAAAAAAAAAAAAGGAGAAAATAAAATTTATATGTTTGAACGGGATCCAAAGTAAACAAGTATTTAAAGAAATATGTTCACAAAATTGTTATTAATGAACATTTGCTGTGCTTGTGCTGGACGGACGATGATGGTGTTTTGTACCCGTTTTTTTTTTTTTTTTTATTATACAACAACACAATTTCTTTTCTTTTAGTTTTACGCTGTACTACTTTAATTTCATCCAGGACGACTTGGCAAATATAAAAACCAGTTCATACATATATACAGATACATTCTACATATATATATATATAAATATCTTAAATATGTGTTCAGTAAAATCTATCAATAGCTAGCATATAAATGCAATTTGGAAAATTAATAAATAAAATACGGCCAAAAGGAATAGCGCGACAGGGAGTGGGAAAAGGCGAGAAAGAAAAATTGTGAAAAAAGTTGAACTTATTTTGTACTAAATCATTACTACTCTCTCTCTGTTTCGTTGGTAAACGCCTTTTATGCCAAGATGTACAATATGACTGCACACATTTATAACGAATTAAAAGAAGACAAATGAATGCAAATATAAACTGAAATCTATCGAATTCCTAATGCTGATCAATTTGATCGCAAACACGCTATGCTATCGGAAGTGTTTTTCGCTTTAATACGAACGATTTAATAAAATTCGTATACAGCTATTCTTTTATCTAAAAATCAAATTGAAACCATATTGAATTTGATAAACAATAAATAAAATATTTCAAATGGACAAGTATTGGACGGATGAACGGACGGGCACTTGAAAAGCATTTAATTTCATTTTGTATATAAACATGCACATATACATGCACACGTTCATACGTACATACTTAAAACGCATATATGTGCAATGCTTACATATATATGTAATAATATAATATATCGAAATCATTTGTTACATATATGTGTAACATGTGTTTGTAGCATTTGAAATACGTATATGTTCGCGCTAAGCTTTAATAAAAAACAAAAAATTAATATCTAAAAAAATAAAACAAAAAATAATTATATATATTTTTTTATGTAAATTTTTTTTTTCACTTACTTGCACAACACCGTGGAAAAATGCCAAAACATAGACTACCGGTAAAAATGCTTTGTGTGGACAGCACTCTAACCGATCTTGACGTACTTTGAAAAACGTTGAGCGTAAATTTAATTTCAAGCCATTTGGCGGTTCGGTAACAACTTGGATGTATTAAAAAAGAAAATAAAAAAAAAAAAAACGATTACATACGTATCCGTTAATTTAATTTAAATTCATTTATAATTGATTTAAATTCCTTGCAATTAAAAATCTTTCTTGGTGTGTTTTTTGTTTTATGAAAGAGAGATTAATTTTAAATTCCCTTAAAGAATTGCTTTTACAAGCTTTCTATTAGGATTTTAAATCGAAAGTCTATAGCATACTTTTGGGCTAAATTGTAATAATATGCTGAGCATAGCTTCTTCTTGTATGATGATAAGAAGTAATATTGTACTTTAAATGCGATCCAAATTTCAAAAGGATTTTTTTAATAAAATTATTAAAATTGCTTTTTATTCATTATATTTCTTTTTTCAAGTATTACTAGGTTCAAATGCTTTTGTTTTATATTGAATTTAGAAAATTGATTTTGAACAAAATAAATTCTTCAATTTATTCTGAACATTCTTTTAAATAAGGAGATGGCTGCTAAGAGCAAATTTCCTGCAAAGCGACCTCTATATCATAGTTGATGTTTAGGAATTAATTTTCGATTGGATTATATTTATGATTTTGAAAGTCTAATAAGAGGGATATTTTTTTTTTTGCTTCGGACAGTGGAATGTGATATATGATGAAATCGAGAATCAACAGTTTTCGTTTAGTTTTCATCGGGTGCGGTTGACTTGAGTTTTTACGGTAGCGCGAAATTTATCAGATAAGTTCAGAAGAAGTGTTGAGTTTTTGGAGAAAATAAGTAAAAGAAAGTTGCAGATTTTAATATTTATTTTACTATTTTTTACTTATAATAGTTTTTTCAATAAATAAAAGAAGTGTTTGTTTCATCCAAAGAAAGATGCTGTTGTTTTACAATTTTTTTTTTTAAAACTCTTTTTTTAATATTTTGGCGGACATTTTGTATTTTATTGACAAGTGTTAAAAAATGTTCTTAAAAAAAAAAAGAGCAAATAGTCGCGAGTGTTAACATTTATTGTATTATCGGTTATTTATAATTTTTTATTTTTTGATGGACTTTTTAATGATTTTTAGAAGAGTTTATTAAACGTTTGCTTTATTCATCCAATATTTGCCTGAGGAACGGTGCTCTTCTTGTTCTTCTAACTTTTAGTTATGTTCTAATAATGCAAACACAATTGTTTTTCTACTGTTTTTATGTATAACAGAAAAGAAATTGTTTTTGTTTTTTCGCTTAGAATACGCAATCGGCAATTTTCGTTTTTCAAGTCGTCGGGTATGCAATATACAACTTCGTGAAACGAAGCAACTAAGAATACAAGTTAAATTTTTGCTATGCCTTGTTTGAAATGGGTTTTATTTTTTTATTGCTATAATTTTAGCTAAGACATTAGAGAAAAAATGCATTTAATAAGTGAATTTGTCGTTTTCGGTGCGTTTCGTTGCGTTGTTTTCGGTGCGTTTTCGTTTTGTAAAATTGTCGCAATATTAACAGAACTCTCGGTGACGTTGCATTTTCGGCTAAATAAATACTGGCGCTAATATTGCGTTCGCAGAGAGTGCGTGAGAAAACTTAAAAACAAATTACAAATATTATCGAAATAATTGAGCAGGCACTGCTACGACTTTAAAAGGTGAGTTAAAGAAAACGAAAAAAAAATCTTCCTCTTACACATATCATATATGAATGAAATTTCAAAGTTATGTTCTACACACACACACACACACAGACACACACACAAATACACCACATTCTTCAAAGACAATTTAAATTCACTTCACTATTTGTTGCACTTGTATTATTTTTGCCTTTGATTCGCTTTTGATTTGCTTTGCTTATATATAGGCTAGTTTTTATTTAGAAGAACCTTTTCGTATGTATGTTCCATTAAAACCCTTTTGTAAAAAAATATAATAAAGATTGATTAAATTACGTACAAAAGATGTATTAAGTTTGTGCGGATGCCTACAGCAGCGAGAAGGACTTGAGATAGAGCCACCTTTCATTATAACTATCTACTCAAAATCCGCCTGTCTGTCTGTCTGTCCGTCCTGTATCCTTATGTTCAAGCTAACGGCCGCAATTTGTGATATATTTTATTGAAATATGATGCACTGACGTCTTTTAGCCTATGTATAAGCGCTGGTCAAAATGGTTCGGATCAGATCACATTTCCCACAGCATTTTATTCTGCAAAGTCGTTATATTAAGTCAAATCGTAAGGGATGTATTTAATGCTAGGCTGTGGCCCACTATAAGGTTCTTTCGCTTTCGTTTTGATTTGTATGGAGAGCGAAAAGCCTAGATTTCGTTATCCTTAATTTTTTTTAGAACAAAAAGAGAAAGCGCTTTTGTTTTTGAGTATACTTACGATTAAAAGAAAAAGTTAAAATAACAAACGATGAGTGACATCTAATGAACAGACGCTTATCTTCTAATCTAAGATCTTTTGCAATCCATCCTTTACTTATCATATGATTGAGTAAACGTAAAAAAGTATTAGAAAATCGAAAAAGGGGAAAATTATATAACTAATTACTCGCGTGTGTAAACAACCGTCAATTTTGATTATCAACACAGTAAACTTTAATACTACATAGCAGCAACAACAACAACAACTAATAGTCGATGAAAACGCAGGTTCTTCCCTATCTTTTATTTATTTTAACACATGTTAATCGCACATAGTTAAATGATAAATGTTCGAACTTTTTTTATTTGTTTTTTCGTTTTATTTTTATTTACCTTTTAATGATTTTTGTAAAATACCAATTGGGAAATTATCGCTGGCATCTGTGGTAATCCATAAACGAAAATCGGGATGAGGTTGTTCGACCTTTTCTAAATACTTTTCCAATTGACGGACAAAACTAATTAATAAATGACCATTTTGTAGCATCAGCCACATGCCCTGTTGTATGGACGTTTCTAATAAACGTATAGCAGCCTTAAAAGGATAATGAAAACATTTTTTTAATAATTTACAAATGTTTTTTAATAAATTGAAAAGGAGGGAAATAAGTAAAACGAAAGAATAACAAATGAAGAGAAATATAAATAAATGAATAAAACAAAATTTCCAACACTTCAAGCAATACATACATACATATTTCGCTTTAGGTTAAAGTGTTGTTTGGCATATTGTTAAAGTGCTGATTAAAGAAATTGAATGTTCACATAAATGTATGTGTGAGTGTGTGTGTGTGTGTGCATAGTGATTTGTGACTAGAGTTTATTATATATATATATATATATATATATATAAAAATGCATGACACACTATGTGTCGCATATATATATATATATATATGTGTGTGTGTCTGATTGTAGGAATACAGAATGAATCAATTCACAGTGCATAAAAAGTGTCTGTTTGTCGATGTGTGCAAGCGAATACAGGATATTGTGCCACAGTTCGTGACTAAAATTGACACTTGATTGTCATTGGTATCACTAGACTCTAGAGTTTATTGGAAAGATGAAGGGTGTATATAAACGTATACACATACATTTATCTATCTATGAGTAGTTTGTATGTCTGTGTATTTACTTTTATCTGCAGATTGTGTGTAAATGACATAGCGTAGCATTTTCTCTATATATTGCGCCATGAGAGATTGGTAAACGGTGACGGGTCTGTTGGTTAGCTGGTTATTTGGTTGGTTATCTTTCATGGCGTTTTATTTATTTGTTTGTTTGTTTATTTACTGGTGGTGTGCTGCTGTGTGTGTTATGTACTCGCAGTTTTGTTTATCTGTTGTTGTTTATTTGCTTTGGCAGCACAAATTGACACAATAGACGTGTTCACTAGCTAATACTCTCAATACTGTCCAGGGTAAATTACTATAGTTTTATATATATATATATATATATATATATACAATAGTTATATATATATATAACTATGTATATATATATATAGTAAGATTTTATGTATGGGTTTATGGGTCAGTATTCATGCTAGCGCTCTACAAATACTACTAAAGCTTTATCTCTCGCATTACACGCACATAAAAACTCATACCTTAGTTGATTGACTCACCTTTTCCTGCCCTTGTCCCAATGATATGTGACAAAAGTTACCCAGGCCACCGCCAACTTGCTCCGCCAATTTCATCAAATCATTTGTGGGATCAGAACCGGCACTCAATATGAATACTACCGGTATGTTGCAGGTTGTTTGCTCGAATATGTTTATGAAACTTACCACCGGCGGCATTATGAAAAACTCGTCCATTGTATCGACAATATATTGATTTATCGAACGGAATATGCGATCAACACGGAAACAACGTAAAAACATTAATTTCTTTAGGGAGATATCAAAAACAAACCCATTAGAACAACATAAAAAAAAGTAGGTGGATATATATATAGTATATATATATATATATATAGTATATATATATATATACTATATATTACAGTTGTTGCTTTTGTTGTTTTGCTGATGCTGTTGTTATTGTGATAGTAATGAATGACTCTGCTGGTGGTGTTGCACAATTCCTCAGCACAATTCATTGCGTAAATAACGAATGCATGGAATTGATTGTGAAATAATGTGACGTTGTTTGTTGTTCCTTGCTCCGCATAGTTGATTGGAAAATTGTATGGCCATCAGAAGCCAACAATGTTAACTGATGTTCGCATCGTATATCGTTGTATTAGAAATGCATGTATATGTATGTATGTATATATGTTTGTGTTCGCTAAGGCAACAACAACAAGTTTTATTGTGGAGAAAGTTCAACTTCCTTACTGACACTTTAATAATAATAATAATAATGATATGCGACGATGACGACGACATCAGCAGATGCCAGGCTTGCGTTATTGGTTCTTCTCCTTAACCATGAAACATTATTAAGTAATGTGGCGGAAAATTAATAATTTATTGAAAAAATGAAAAAACAACTAAATATTTAAATTGAAAAAGCACACTTAGTCGATAATGCCGAGTTTATAGTTAAAAAGGAAAATAGAGAGAAGCAATAGCAGAGAAGCAAAATGAGAAATAAAAATTAATAAAATTCATCGTTCACCTTAACCAACGCCCCCGCATACATATGTATATATATCCCGACTATAAACAATCATAATCCACAAACGAACATAAAATATGGTAAAGTAGAATCCAATTAAGTGACTCTCGATATAGAGAGTTATATAGCAGGCGAAATTTGCAGTGGCCAGGTAGATAACTACGCGTGCATGGTATACAGAAATATTACCAGCAACTCAGACTCAAGGCATAACACCAGCGTAATAGAAAACCTTGAGATGTGCGAAGAATTAGAAGCAGGTGGCAAAAGGGGCGGAGGAGCACATTGGTGCGAGGAAGCTCCAATTGGGGTAACTTAGCAGCTGCATTTGACTAAATTCACCATAAAAATCTCGTTATATTGTATGTGAATGTTATGAAAGCCAACTATAACTAAGTACGTGTGTACGTATGTATGTATGATGGCGCATAGGTGCTGAAAGTTGAGTAAAAACTCCTCTTAGCTTCGTACCTCGTAGGAGATATAATTGTGTGGTCATGTGTACACGTTGCGTATATGAATGTAGATAGTGGAGTAACTTGCCTGGAATGAATTGCACTTAATATTATATTCAGCAGGGCAGGCGACTTCTTCAGGATTTTCCAAATCGTACCACTAACCAGCCAATGGGTATTAACAGTTATGTTGCGGTTGTTGATGACGATGATGATGATGATGATGATGATGATGATGATGATGATATTATTTATAATCGTGCATCAATATTTTTATATAACAGAAAGCAAGTAGTGAGAAGAAGTATATATATACACATATATATACGCATTGAAGGCGACGCATTAAAGTTCAGAATTTTATATTGAAGTCATCAGATGTCATGTTTGCAAGCAGCAGCAGCAGCAGCAGCAGCATGACAGTCAATATTCACATGAAATGAAAACAAAGAAAATTTTCAATTTAAGTCACCGTGTCAGTCCATCATTAGCTTTGACTGTACTGTAGGAGTGCTGATCATTGCCAAGTATTTAATAATACATCTGGACACGCTTAAATAAGTAATCATAGCGAAATATATATATATAGTTTTGCTTTTTGTCACATATGTGTTAGTAATCGCCCTCTGGCAGGTATTCGAATGCTTATTAAAGTAAACGACAGAGGGACATTTAAATAAAGACAGAAACTTCGAAGTTATTGATAAGCGGGCGGAGAAGCGGAAAGAGACAGAGAGAGAGAGAGAGAGAGAGAGAGAGATGGAGCAATGAATTGCCAAGTTTTACTCAGGACCGTATATTCCTCTTCTACAAAAATTGTGTAGATTACTTTCATACATCTCCCTCCGGCATATCATGTAAAAATCGAACCGATATATTAAGAAGAAAACAAGTTTAACACGAGTCTTTTGAAAGCTTGTGTTCACAACCCAGAAAAAAAGGCTTAACAGGAACCATTTAAAAACTTATGTTTTCCACATCATATTCATGCCTAGTTAGTGACGATGCTACTTAGCAACGATACTTTTCAGTTACCAGAACTCCTCTTCGAACGTGATAGTTAAAATTTCTATAACTATTTCCAATGGTATACATACACACACATAAAACATAGTCTTTATATATATAGTTTTATCCGTACCTCTTTCCATTCTGCTGCATTTTTTCCTATATGATCGGGTAGAGTTTCAAAATGTTCGGGAAATTCTGTTGACAATTTTAGAATATCCTCCCAATTCTTATCGGTTAACCATTTGACTGGACAAGCCCAAGCACTTTTTGTCAGCGCTACCGAACCTTTTATAAAGAAATCTAATTCCGATTGCGATAAAGTACCATCGCGTTGTCCTAGCTTAGTAGCAATTTGAAATGAGTATAATAATTTATGCCTTTCGAAGATGCCCGTACAACCATAATAATAAACATTCTCGGTTAACGTCTTTATGATATTATTTAAGCGTTTATTTAGGACTGTATCCGGTACGGACTTGCGTAACGAAAACGTAAACACATCCAAATAGGCCGCCAAGGCATACTGATACATCGCGTTAACAGTAGACATATCGGATAGGGCAAAGAAGAGTACGGCTCCTCGTTTAGCCGCCGGTCTGTAACCATCTCTTAGTTTTTCAATATCCTTTTGGGTTTCGGCTGAAAGCTTTAACTGTTCCAAAACCACAGCGGCTTTCGATTTTGTATTTTCCAATGTCTCAATCAATTCTACATTATCCAGCATGTTACCGGTCGAAGTGGCCAATTCCCTGAGCAATGAGTCTTCTAATTGCTGCAGCAATTGCTTATTCTCACTGGTTCGTGCAATTAAGCTTTCACGTTGTGATTCTAAATCAGGTCGCTCAGCTCTTACAACTACGCTTAATAATTGATCTTCTAGGCCGGTTTGTGTTACCGTATAATTAATTACGACTGCTTTAGCGTAGACAGCCGGATCAAATTTTGGATTAGAGAATTTTGTGGTTAAATATAAACGAAAATTAGGATCATAATCTACTTCTTTATCGCCCAATATAATAAATTTCCGACCGCTAACGGTTTGCACATTCTTTTGCAAAATATTATCGATAACTGGATCGATATAATCGTCGACATCCTCAAATAAAACTGGTATGGCAAACATAATTGACATTTCCAATTGCTTTAGAAAATCCGGATCGTTAAACGAGAGACATTTCAAATTGTTGCGCTGTTCCTTTTTCTTAATCCATGTCCAAGCTTGTAGCTGAGGATCAATGCATAACGGAAAACGAGATGCCCTTACTGTTAGAATACCGTTTTGCACGGACAACTCATCGGGTGGTAGACCTTCCGAAGACCAAGTAGAAACTTCTACATCGGTAGTAAGATTTTCATCTAAGCGAAAAGGTAACTGAATTGGTATTTCGCGATTGCAGACATCTTCTAACCAATCATCAAAAATCATAGTTTTACGAAATTCCCAAGAGAAAGCTCCAGTATAGGCTAGAAATGAAGCGCATAGCAAACACTGACCCACCATTACTACTAACTGTTGGCCATAGTTATCGTAGTCATGGCCCCAACGTATACGTTCTGAGCTTAGGCCGCTAATCAATTTATCGGATGCTGTCTACAATTGAAGAAGAATAATTAATATAATTATTATTATTATTATTTATAATTTATGATATGCATTATTAATAGTTTTACCAAACGCCTTTGAGCCTGCTCCATCATCTCGGTTAACGCTTTCATTTGTTTCATCGATTCGGCGTAACGTTGATTTAAACTGTCTAATTGAGCTTCCAATTTAGCAATTTCAGCATTTAAATGATTTAATAATTTGATTTGTTGATCTTGTTCTTGGACCAAGAAATCTACTCGATCCTTTTTCGGTTTCACTTCACGGTACACTTCGTAAAAGCCAAGAACTGCTTTTACAAATTTCAATAATCCATTGCCCGCAACTGAAATCTTTTCCATATCATCGAGATTGGAAGATTTCATATGTGCTCGGCAGCTATTGATTTGTTTGGCAGTCAAGGCTTCACAATCCATTTCCATAAGACTCCGTAAGAAGGCGACATCGGCCATCATGCCCTTGGCTGTCTTCCAATTAATTTCACGATATCCCTTCAGAATAGCAACACATTCGCATACAACTTGCACTTGAGGTGGGGGCGTGGCAAAAGAACGAATTTCAGTAATTTGAGCTTTATCCAATTCGGAAAGTGCGCGTCTGGCCTCTTCTAAAGCGGGCATAGCTTCAGCCAGAGCTACCTCGGCGTCGGCTTTCTCAATAGCAATTTGTTTGCCTTTAATTTCGACTTCCACCGATTTTTCTGATGCCTCAGTTTTCTTTATATTTGCTTTGACAGTCGCATCTTCAATTTCTACCAACATTTGTTCACACTCTTCGGCAGCTATGGCTACGTTGCGTTTCTGTTCCGTGACAATAATACGTAATTCGTCGATCTGCTTAGAAGCTTCATCAATTTTATGTAAGCCCTCCTTGAGACGATCACGTTGCATTGTTATAAAAGTATTCTTTTCATCTAAATAGAGTTGTATTTTGTAAAAAGGCTTCAAAGATTTATATATATATATATATATATATATATGCGTATATGTGAACGATTTCTTACCAAGTAATTTTAGATAAGTATTAATGTAATCTAAGTAGTGTTTGGGAGTCACATAATTATTTCGACGCAATTTTTGCATATACGACACCGAATAGGGATGCATAGTAGAATGCACGTGTACCACGTGCTCCACAATGTTCTCACGATGCTCAGCTGGTATCTGCGAATATAAATACAGATAGTTGTAAAACAAAAAAAAAAATCATTTGAAAATAAGTTACAAGAACGTTTCCTTCCAAGAAAAGTTGAGCTACTGCGTGCAACGCTTGCCTAGGCCAAGGAAATACCCAATCAATATAAGTGCTTCCAATTAAGCCGGGAAAACTACGACAGCGATTACGTAAAGCATCACCGGATGGCGACATACATAAGACAACGTGCATATTTTCAGCGCAAAGTCCCAAAAAGTAAGCCCAAACGGAATCTCTAAAGAACGGACGAATAAAGCAATTTAATGAAATATATATCAATATAAGCTGAGCGATGGACATTTTACAAATGGCTTTGCACTAGAAAGAGCGTAAAATTTATGTTAACATTGACTTACTTGGAAGCTGAAAAGCCTGCTTCTTCAGCTTGAGCTCGACATGCATTTACAATGCCATCCTTATCCTCGTCCGTGAACAAAGCCGGTACCAAACCTACAGTCAATATATTATTTATTAACTCTAGGAAACCTTCTTCAACAATCTGAAAGCATCGAATGATTTAATCGAATGTCGGAAACGCGGTGCAGCAGACTAAGACAGTTACCTGGGCAGCTGTAAACAGGAAAGAGGTTTTTTTACGTTTTACTCCAGCCATTGTATACAAAATCTTTAAATCTTCACGGAACGATTGTTCGTTATATCCTCGAGCTACCGTTATCTCAAAAACTTCACATTCTAATACAAAAAAAAAAAAAAAAAAGAGAAAAGAAAAGAAAAATCAATTTTAATTTCAAATATGTTTACATTAATTAAATGTAAGAAACCTGCGGCAAACGAAGATAACTTGGTAATACATTTTTTTCCACTGCCACCGACACCAATGAGCAGTACATGACCGCGATGCATTCGCAAAGTGCGATGAACTCTTGTCAAATGTTCTAGACAATCTTCGAATAACACTAAACCCAATCGACCTCTACGTTCTTGATATTCTTCTAGAATCTAAAAAAAAAAAAAAAATAAATAAATAAAAAATTGTTCCTCTTCTTGACAACGAGCACTATGTCATCAACTAACTTCGGTGAATAAATGATAAATGGCATCAAAATCTAATAAATCCTCATAGAAGCGTGGTTCAGATTCATTTGTAGCATTGCGAAAATCACCAAATAGCATCGGATCACGCATTACATGGTCAATTAGGGTGATAACTTCTTTTTCTTCAACGATTCCGCCATCCATTGCCTGCAGTTCCGCTTTGGCAGCTTTTTAATACAACGAACAATGGAAATACATTTATTTTTATTTATATATATATTGATAGAGAGAACAAAGGATGAGAGCTCAAATCTGCAAACAATGATTTCATTCACCTTCAGCTGCGGGGTCAACGAAGCCTTGTTCTTCCTCGAAGATGGGTGGAAATGTTTCACGTATTTCATTCTCCACGTGCCGCCTCATCAACTCAATATCCTGCATATACAAAGTGAAAACAAACAACCATTAAAACACGCATTAACTCTCAACGCATAATACCTATGTAAACTTTGTCTCTTCTCTAGCGCAATCAGAACAGAATTGAATAAAATTTATAATAAAATCCCTAAACATTGAAGGACGGACACACAACACAACGAAGACACGGACAGCACGGTGACAGTTATATTATGAGCTTCGATTACTTTGCCTTACTTGCTCTTTTTTTTGTTCTTTTCTTTCCGGCTTCTTTGTAAAAATTGAATTCCGTTTTATGGCTTAACCCAACGAACAACGCAACAATATAAAATGAAATCAATTTCACAAGATATTTCTCAAGTATTTAAATAATTGCGATAGATAGGTGAAAGCTTAATATATATATATATATATATATATATATATATATTGAAATATCATCATTCCATCAGCAGGTATTTGAAAAAATTTATACGCATCATTATGCGCTTATATAGATTTACTTACAGCTTTTGTTATTAAACGGTCGCATATAATGCGTGTGAATTCGTTCCGCCATACGCGTATTAGATCTCGTAAATCATTAAAGTACTTTACACTTATAAGCAGCATACCGGCAAATATTCTCGATAAATCTTTTAAATTGAATATATAATGGAATTTTGACGGTGTCGGTGGCAGCTCAACAACGATAATCTAAAAATAGAAAAAAAAAATTCCAAAAAAAAAAAGTTAAAATCATTTCACTATGGATTGCTTCAGTGCAAGCAATTGGAAAAAAAAGTGTGAAAGAAAAAAGAAATCTTGAAAATTCGCCAAACTATAACAAGTTACGGTAAATGCTATTGAAAGCCATCTTCAAAAGCAATTACATTCTTCCTAAATAATAATGTTGATGAAATGAATTTTTCGAAGAAACTCCAACAAATAATTTGCACGCAAGTCTATTGCATACTAAATCCATTGAAAAAGTCGGCCTTGAGTGCAATACCAAGATAACGATTACGAACGACATCCATCGGTACTTGGAAAAAAAAATAATAATACATTGCAAGTAAAGAAGATGTCCTTCCATTAAGGATGATCTTCTATTTATTGGTGGTCGTAACACATAATCCATGGCCTAAGTTAAGGTCTTATGAACCTATCAGACATGTAGTATTCCTTTACTTCAAGGCATAGGATAAACAAATCGACAATCGGGCACAGAGTGGATACAAGCAATCGAAGTATGGGAGAGATTCGGAATAATTATAAAAATTAATTTTAAAAGTTAAGCAGGGGGCAGGTCAACCAAATACATGAAGACTCACTTATCCCGCGAAAATTAGTACAAAAATTATGTCAACATTTTGTTAATTGAATTCATTTTAGTTTGTTTTTACTCTAAATTTTTGCGAGATCTTAACAAATGTTTGGAACAAGTCGTGGATGGTTATTGCTGAAATCATTTCTATATCGCGACAATAACGATATGAACGATAACGAAGTGAAACCAAGTTAGAAATTCTATATCAATCTTGTCGAATTCTTTATTCGAATTCTATATGAAGCGAGAGAAAAGGACGCCAGTTATGGTTTTACTTGTCCCTTGTTGTCTTTACACATAATATTTCTTTTTGGGCAGTACCACTGTCACTGTTCACTCTGTATTCACTCTTTTTAATTGTGAAATTTTATTCGCGAATTTTTCTGCTTTTGCGACTCATTACGCTTTGTACAAGTTTTAATCATTGTTCAGATTTACGAAAGAAATCCTAATTGAGAACAAAACAAAAAAAAGGCCATCAATTTTGACGATATTACTTTTAGTAGGTGGTTAGACAAAACAAATCGGCCTTTAGCCTTAGTAATTACTGACTCGAGCATTTTGGATAGAAAGGATTCACCTTTTTTTAGTTTTGACTTGGCTTTTAGTTTGAAGACCGCTTCAGTCTTTGACACATTACTTATGGTTATTATCCAAGCCTTAAGCCGGCAAGCATTACATCTGTATTTTCTATTGGGAATATGTAAAGCGCAGGTCCTTATTCCTATTCCTAAAGTAAAATTCCCTATTGTCGCTTTTGCGCCGATTTTACCAGTGTAGTATATTTAGTTCTCTTTCTATTCTAATTTTGCGACGAGAACCTGAACGAGTAAAAGTTTGTAAATGAAAGCCTTGAAACCTTAAGCATAGCTTAGGCAGGCATAAGAAGAGTAGTTTCATTTGAGTCACTTCTTTGTAGAGATTATTTTATTGATTACCACTCTTCCGAAGCTTTTAAACCTAAATTATGATTTGACACGCACAGATTTTAGTGAGTTCGGTCCAATAAAACAATTGATACGATTTCACCATAAAATTGCTAAAGAAGATAAGCTCCATGAAAATTTAATAACTTTGCAAAGAAATCTAAATTTCTGTTCTGCGTAAGGTAGCCTGTTAAATACTTTCCTACCTTATCAAAAGACTATTTTCCCGAGTGACTGTGAAGTCGCCTTAATAATACGCAAAACTCTTGGGCATTCATTACATCCTGTAATGATGCACATAGATAACTGTTTGATTAGAGAAACTTTGGTGATTGCTTGTCAGTGTTAAAAATGCAAAATGATTATCCAGTGAATCCGTACATATCCTCAATTGAGCCATACCCACGTTTTAGGTAAGCTCTTGAAGAGACGTTGTTGCTGTACTAACTGCCAACTTTTCATATATGCAGCATATGAAACGGATATACCTTGAGCTGGAACAATTCATTTAATTATATAACATTTCAAAGTCGTCATTATTATATAACATTTCAAGTCAAAGTATTCTTGGCGTACAGTTTCGTACAGCCTTTGTATTTTAACAATCTCAAGAGCTTTTTTGATTATTTCTAAACGACGTGCTTATATATACTTCCTACTACCGATCAAGGGTCCTTCCAGGTTTGATCTTCTATTTTTCAAACTCTTTTCTAAATTATTTCAATTGAAAATATTGAATTGATCTATAGAGGCACGCAATGTAATGCATTTTAAAAACTTAACTAACACAAAAAATGTTTGCCTTTGTGCAGGGAAGTGAGAGATTTCAGTTCAGTCTCAGTTACTCTGCCGCATTTAAATTCACTTCCGGGCCTATTTAAATTCCAACAGCTTACTAATGTAATGAAATAATATTTACATCCTACGCTAATAGCTTGCACTTCAATTGGATTAACCGATATAAACTTTCCTAATATGTTACATAATAAATAATTTAGTTAGCATGCCATCCCGTTTGAAAAGTACTTTCCACAAAAATGAAAATTCAAATTTTTCAGATAGTTAAATTCTCAAGAATCAATAGTTCAAAAAAAAAAAAAAAAATATGGAGAACATCACGTAATTGATGCAAAAATTCTGAGAAAATGCAGCTTTTATCGACAAAATAAAAAAAAAAAAAAAGAAGAAAACCTATTGAATTCAATAAGAGAAAAATGGCAACTAAAACAGACAATGCTCCTCATTATAGTCCATAAATTGTCACCGAAAATAATTCATAGACTCGTACAGAGGCAGAAGCAGAAGGAGCAGAATATGAAGAAATAAACACCGACTCAGCATATACTAAAGTAGAAGACAGTAGTAATACAGTACATAAATATATATTGAATGTACGTATATATATATATGTATATATATTATCATCTTTCATATATAAATTTCTTTCCCACCTTCTTGCTCTCCACCCCCCCACCCCTCCCCACCCAATCACCCACTATCTCTCTATACGAATATTAATGTAAGAGTTTCTGTATGCGAGGACAAACACAAATCAAATTTTATCACAACTGTATTCTACTCGATATGTGTCTGCATTGTAACTGATTTTCGACTAATATCAATTTAAATTTTATGGTTGTTCTTGTAAGGAGAGAAAAGCGTAGATGTATATATTATAAAGACTACCTTCCCCTCCCAAGCAGTTATTTGTTGCTCTATTCAATCCGGAATATATGGCAGTTATAACTTTATAATCATGTCATGACGTTAGTCAATGCATTTTTATCTATAATAGAGAAAGAGAGTGTCCTGAGAGTTTATATAAAATGGAAAAATTATATTCAAGTAATTCATTGCTTTTGAAAAGTTTGCGTTGCGTTAATAACTTCGACATGCCATCCGAAGAAGAAGGCAAACAGAACTTTCATAGGAGAAATGACGTGTCCTTGTAACAAACACTTTAGTAAGTGACGTATATCATGCAAAATCTCTTAAGTGGAATTATTCGTAGCAAGGATTTTGTAGAACTTACGTGGAAAATATTAAGTAATTTAATAAGTATTGAGCCCTCATACAATTCATAATTTTTTTTACCTTAAAAAACCATCGGATAACGGTCGGTAGACTTAATCGCGTCTATCTAATTTTGGATATGTTCGGTACTGTTTGCTATTCATAGGGCTGCTGTTCATCACCAGGTGTATATATCAGTATGTTGTCGTTCGGCCCTTCGCCATTCACCTACTTGGTATTTTGTAGGGTCCTTTGCAACGCACCTTTGTTGATTACCCTTTTGACATTGTTTTCCCTTCTTCTTATCCGTTTCCATCTCGCTCGTTCGCTAGCCGATTGTTTTTACACCTTTTAGGCTTTCCTTCGGTTCGTTGTCGTAGCATCTCGCATAGTGTGTGCATCTGGCAGAGTGTATGTTCAAGCGTCTAACCGATCGTTGTGTCTCTCTACTCTTCTCTACTCTTTCACATCCTCTGTTGTCCCCTAAGTCCGGAACTGCATGGGAGCCTCCCTGCTCCCGGTGGGGCACTCCGTGTGCTATCAGGCATCGTATGGTCAAGGAGCCTACGCCATGAACCTACGTTAACCCCCTGTAACACGTCTGTCTGAGCGTTGTCTTGATTAGCTTGATCGAAGGCAAAGAGCTAATAACTACAACATGATATACGCGGTTCTACTGCTTTAATAAGTCATGGATTCATGCGTCAGCTCTGTCTGCCAAATCAATCTAGAACAGAAACTAAAGTCATGAACGATTTATCTAATTTCTTAAGGCGAGCAATCGAATCTCCACAGCATTAGGTAACTTTGCTCTACATAAGTAGAGGTAAGTGATATAAAAAGCCAACTCTGTCTCTCTTAAAGGTGAGTAGGAGTATAGCTTTTCTGTTTAATTTATGGTCTGAGCAGACTCATATCTTCCTTTCCGATATATAAAAAAAAAGGAAGTTTTCATGCTATGTAATCTTTCACTGAACCCAAAAGAAGTTTCTCTACAAAGATATACTAAATTTTAATTTAGTAAGGAAGGTAATAATAATATTGTAAAGGTTTCTTACGTTTAATATTTCCACAAAAACAATATTCTCTAAACAGTATGTTGATGATTTATTACTTTTTGCCACCTCAAAATGCATTAAAATGCAATAATATTTCAATGTCAATAATTGTTAACAAGACCATAAACTAATGCCCGAATCAACTAAGACTAACCAACTGACAACCATTAGCTATTGCATGTATTGATGATGTTATAGTTACATTATCCAATGGCCTTTACAACATGTATGTACAAATATAAGACTTTTACGTAATCGCATGTGTGAATGCCTTAGGATCTCAGTTGTATGTCAACCCATTGCAAAATGCATTTGAGCATAAAATGAAGGGGAAAAAGAAGAAAAAAGAAAAAGAAAAAAAAAAAAAAAACTAAAATGAACGTTAAGTAGCAAATGTTAGTTCTTGTCTTATTTTTTACTTAAACTGTCTGCACTCTGCTACAGGGACCGCAACACAGAAGGATAGCATAAGGTTCTATACCATCTTTTATGTAGCTTTCCTATTTCTTCTCCATTATTTTCTTTTTCCATTCAATTGTGTTTCTTCTCCCCAGTTACTGACTATAAATCCACTACAATATAAGCTGAAAATATTGACCAACTTCTCTCTCAACATTTATCGACGTCTTTTTCCTTCAATTTTTCTCATCTGTTTCTTCTATATTTTTTTGTACATGGAAAATTTATAAGAAATTGTATCCGTGCCTGTGTGTGTGTGTGTGTGTACGTGCATTTGAGTTTGTTTATTTATACATATATGCAGTTTTGAATAATTTCAATTGTAAAATATAAACGATTTGGCAACGATTATGAAAAATGGATATGATTTTACATATGTAAATGTTTGACTCTTCGAAATTTATCCTCTTTTCATCTAATATCTATAAATACCATATGAGGGATTGTATGTGTGCTTGTGTGATAATATCATTTTACCTTATAAAGTTTTAGTGTCATTAGCACAATTAAATCAGCGATTGGTAAAAGTTTTTTCTTAAATTGTTGCTGCTCCAAATGTCCTTTGAATATTGATATGTAAATCTGTTGTAACGACTCGTCATTCGGAAATACTATATTATAAACGGAGAACATCGAGATGAAACGTGGATCGACTTCGTTGCGGCCACCACCAGCTGTGCCCATAGCCGCATAAAATGTAATATCTTTAAATTTCTTCCAATTTAGATCCTTGTCACGGTCATATAGGCCACCACGTTCAAAAAATAGTTTTAACAAAGCGATCGGTTGTTGAGTACCGTAGCTAAGAGAGAAGAAAATGTTTAAAGTGCACAATGAGAAGAGGAAAAGTTCAATTAATTTTTAAATGTAATTTAAAAGCGAGTGAAAATATTACATTGGGCCACCACATGCCATTAACTTGCACGAGTTTGCTTAATACAAATACTCATTTCACTTTTCAAAATAAGGCGTGATATGGGAAATATTGGTAAAAGTGGTCCGACCCGAACCATTTTCAGTAATAGTTGTTCTTGGACTGAAGTGCGTCTGTTAACCAACTCCCATCAAAATATCTCAAAAAATGCCGCTTGCATGCTGAACATAAAAATACATTGACACGTACCAGGTGGAATGGCGGACGGACAGACAGACACGTTACGATCGATCTAGAAAGCGATTCTGAATAGTTTGGTATAATAAAAGTTAAGCCTATATTGTGTTCTTCTGGGTGTTGCATACATTCGCACATGTTAAATGCACCTTCTTACCTTCCTGTACCACAAAAGATGTTCAGATTGCTAAATTTTAACACATCATTCTACCGAATAATATCAAGAATAACTGCAGCGGAAATACATGATATTAGTGCTAAACACGTATGAAGAAAAAAATATTTAACTCTGCTGACATCCTTATAGTCCCATCAGCTAGGGCTATGAAGAAAGAACTATGGTGAGATTAGGGGAATTTGTTCAGAGAAATTTTAATCGAGCCTAGCATAACTGGTCGGAATTCCATAAACAAAGAAGGGTTTTTTTTTTTTTTGGGTTAAAAAAGGGGTCTATGAGAACCAAGTGACTAAATGCGAGTATAACCGTAATGGCGTTTTGATGTGAAAATGATAGATCGTCTGAAGTCAATATAACATCTAAAGGATTTTTTGTATTTCTTATAATCGGACGCCAATTGCGTTACGATGTTTGCCTATAAAATCTGTTGGAAATTCCATTAGGCTTAGTTTAGTCGACCATTAAATATTTATTTAAAGTTATGGCCATAAAATGACAAGAAAATTTCGTCCATTTTTAAAGCCAATTTTCAAAAAAAATCTTCGTAATTCCGTTGAAATGCAGATTTTGAAGCTATAGGATAGTCTTGCAATTGTACGGAATATGCAACTATTGCAATATTCGATTGGAAAACGTATATGATGATTCTTTCTTTTCATGCAAACATTCAACCAAACGAAATGCAATCATTACAACAATGAAAGATAGGCCATGATGACCAGAGCTCATATACGGAGACGAAGATAGATGCAATCAAACCTTTACGAATATACTTACTCATCTACTTGTGGCATATTCATGTCGTCAATGAAACAAGCAACCTTTTTACCCATAGGTGGACCAAATGTGTCTTTTGTACGTTTCTCAACGGCAGCCTCAAGGGTGCGTTGCACATCCATTGAAGATGTTCTTGATGAAAAATTAATATTCAATATAATCTGAAAGGGGAATAAATTATCATCACATACGCAAACAGATTTAACAAAAAGAAAAAAACGAGGAAATGTATGTAGTAAAGCATGAATTCACATATGAATATTTGCTTCTGGTATAATACTTATGAATCTCAATCAAATTTTGATCACATGTACAGGTATATAAGGAGAGATTTTTTTTATCAAAAATAATCAATAACTGAAATGAGAAAAAGATGCTAAACTCACGTTAGTATCTTTATTAAGATTTCTTAGATATTGCGATATAATTGCAGTTTTTGAGGTACCCGCCTCACCCACCAGCAATACGGGTCGTTTTATCTATGAAAATTAAAACAAAAAAATATCAAATATGTTTGGAAAACTTCATCATTTCACTTACATCACTATTCAATGATAATATATTAACAGTTCTGGTACTATCTACAGTTGGTACTAGAATTTCGCTGAATTTCATAGCAGGATCGTGTTCGTATATGGGCACAATCCATTCCCAAGCTATCCAACAGGAGTTTTCCCGCGAATAAAAATATTCATAAAGAGTTGATTTATTTGTGGGCAATTGACCACCTCCTGCAGGTTTATCTTTCGCATCCTGAACGCAAGGGAAACCGGAAATGCGTTTAATGAATTCATCGAATACCGGTTGGTCTGTTTCAATTAAACATGCCCCAAGTGACGAATAGACGCACTATGGCAGAGAAAAACAAATAAATTGTATTTACTTAATAAGCAGATTAAGCAGAGCAGCTTACCTGTATAAAGCCGCATTCTAACGAATCCGTATCGTATTGTATGGGCGCTGGTGCTTCGAAAATATCGCTAACTTTTTCGAACGGTGGCAGGAGAGCATCATACATATTGCAAAATTGTGTGACCATATTCAATTCAGTTTGATAGATAACTGTTTTTAATGGATTGCCCTGTGAAGTACCATCAAGGCCTTCGTGTATGAAAGCAATACCTTGCATAATAATCTTCTCAAACATTTCCTAATTAAATAAATATTTAATTAGTTTAGTAAATATTTTGATTTATTTTCTCAGAAATAAACCTGTAATAATTCTCTTTGGGCTTCGGGCCGACTGAATACCCAACGTTGCCAATACGGGCTATAACGTAAGTTTTTAGGATCAACAAAAACCATGCCGGCACGTGAAACCGTCGCTGGCGAAGCATAATTCAAATTGCCGACCTATAATGAATGAAATATTATTTATTACAATTATTCTACACAGAATGTAAAGAAAAAAGTCTTAGATGTTCAAAGATATTATTTACTTTATATATCATATCAAAACACTATAATGGGCTATCGGTCCACTGTGAAATACCGCACGCTATCTTAGAGTTATGCATATAGAGACTTTTTACAATAAGACTTAATGTGGGAAATGATCGAGAACATGCTCCGCTTCGAACCATTTTCAATAGCGTTCGTCCTTGTGCTAAAAGACGTGAATGCCTGAAATTTCGTCAATATAACTCAAAAATTGCGACCTGCAGGTTGAATATACGATAACTAAGCAGGCAAATGAACTGACGGACAGACAGACAGACAGGCAAGCAGAAACTCTTAGGATAGATTCGCTAAACGATTCAAAGTCATACTCTAAACCAAGTTAAAATTGTCCGTCCGTCCGTCTTATGCCTGTCGACGTATTCTTTGGTCTTCGAACAACAGATCGCAATTTTTAAGATATTTTAACAAAATATTTTATAGAAATATCAAATGAATGTGAAAAATTTGAATCAGATGAGTTAATCCTTTCAACTCTTTCTCCTCGAATTGCTCACAAGAAAAAATCAACTCTGAGCTGCCATGAATAATACGTGTTTGCCTGGAAACAAGCTATCATTTCATGACGAAAGCAAATGAAGTATCGTTTGTACAAGATGCAATGTTCAGCCATGTCCGACCATGATGACCTTACTCATCCTATTTATCATTTTAAACTGTTCACGATATCAAAATTTCACTGTTAGGCATATATGACTATTTTGCTTTTGTTGAGTAGTTATAATTACTCTGTATGTAAGGGAAACCTTAAAGAAAATTCTGATTTAATTATAGTCGGCATTTTTTTTTTTTTTTTTTTTGAACAACAGGTCTTCAATCTCTTTGATGAAATATTTAACCAAGGGTGAAAATAATTTTTTAACTTAATTTTTTCTTTTTAATGGCGAAAAATAAAACTGACTAACTTGGGGTGTTTCGCTCTTCACACAGTTGTTATTACGTAATAGCTTACATAACTTTCTGGGACTTAATACGATTTGGTTTTAAGGATACAGACTGAATTTGACAATTTTTGCTGCATAAAATCCGCTACACTTTACGTTAATATATTACAGATGGTGGGACTTTTGGATATTGATTTAGTTTGTTGGGTAATAAATGTAAAATTGTTTTATGCTGTGCTGTGCACCTAGTTAAGGTGGGCGATGTAAAGTGATTGAAATTGTTGAATCTGTATGTAATTACGTGGTGAAATGTCGCAAGAGTTGCTTCGAAAATATTTTTCAGTTAGCATACGTCTTTATATCCATCACTGAAGGATGGAGATACGCTCACTTTGTTTCTTCCCCAAAAGAATGCTTCAGAGATCCTACTCTTGATCAGTGTGAAATTTTGAATTTATTTATAAGCCATGTCTGTCCGTCTATATGTCTGTGTGGTGTTGGTTGTTGGTCGCAAAAGTGAAGTTATCGACTTCAAATTTGGTAGAAACATTGCCAGTCTTCGCACGCGGATTGATATTGAAAACGGGCCAAATTGGTCAGAACAAAAGGCCGCAGTGGAGCATAGACTAAATGCAAATCTAATTATTTAGGTTGTTTTTCGCTTTGATTGCCTCAGTTATTAAATGCAAATCAGACAGACAGACTTTTTTCATGATTAAAGAGATCGCACGTAACATCAATACGGACAAGTGAATCATCTATTTTTTAGGATATTAAAGTTTAATAGAGATTTGCATTGTAAACTTATGCATGGGCTTAAAAAACGATTATATGATTATTATATAAATCAGGCAAAAAAATTATTCTTTTTTGCATATAAATCCATTAAATCAAAGTAGTTGTGTTCCAATGCACAACGTATTTGAGGTTTTTTTTTTTTCCTTTTTTTTTGCTTGTATCTAATACCTTGAAACATTTTGAAAAGCATTAATATCATTGGCATCAATAACATCGTCGTTATTTAGACGGAAAATCATTCATTCTTTTCATAACCACAACACCATATGAATGCTATGTTATATGTTGCTTAATGACGATGATGACTCTGACTCTGACTCTGATTATGATAGTTATCGTGATGATGATGATGATGATGATGATAATAATGATAATGGTGATAATAATAACGGGGGCAACGATGATGTTTTTTTGAAATGCTGACTCGGTATGCATTTCATAACCCGCTTGGTTACTTTGTCTGAAACGTCACACCGTTTTATAGTGTTGCACATTGAGCTAATGCTTGGCTTATTGCTGTATAATTTTGCATTTGCCTTTACTAAGTTTGCTTGTTTTTTGTTGTTTAATGTGGCAGTTGCTGCTGTTGCCATAGTTTCCTCATCAGTGTACCTTTTTTTTTTTTTTTTGTTTTGCTTTTTACAAACTGTAAAGCAGGATGTTTTGTTTTGTTCGTTTTTTCTTTTAAATTTTTTTTTTTTTTTTTTTTGTTACTATATATTTGAACTCACCTCAAACAAGAGAGCACAGTGGTTTTCCAATCTAATGCGTTCACCATTTGCTAATGTCAGCAGCTTATTATCATCCATAACTGAGTTCATGTTCTCAATCCAAAGTGCATCAACATCTCCATCAAAGCAGACGTAACGGCGTTCCTGCGGGAATGCATTAAACTGATTGTATTAGTTGCCAAAGCCACATGATACGGATGCATGCATAGACGATGATGACGGTAATCATGATAAAAATGTGTACTTTTTTTTTTTTTTGTTCGACTTGCTATATAGTGTAAGATGATATTCGATGGTATGTAGAATTTTGTAGAGTGGTAGGAGCGTATGAGAAATCAAAAAAAAAAAAACAAAAAAAAAACACAAGGTTGTATTTGCGATATCGTTGCGAGGGAACATTTCATAATAAAACTTGCATTAAAACGATCACACAAAAGTTTATGATGCAAACTATGTTAGGTAAGAGTTCAAAGACGAGTAAGTATCCGTTGGAATTGAAGGCTACATAAGCTTTGAGTTAACGTGACATTTGTTGTTTCTAACACATAGATATTCATGCAAAAATACACACACACACACATATATATATATATATATATATGTATACATAGTTATATGCGCATATATAATGATACATTCAAACTATGGGGATTTATTACTTATATACTTATGTAAGCTTCACAACTGTTTATGTTTTAGATGATAGTTAAGCTCAGAAGGGATCTTAACGCATCGTTGCAGTTAGTTTTTCCATCTCCTTTTTTTTTTTTCTTAAATATCAACGATGGCCTTCGTCAACGTTTTAAAAATGTTATATGAAACCGAAAGCAATGGGATTTATTAGCAATTTTGTGTGACATCCGTAGAAACAAACACCTTTACTACTGACAATTTGGTTTTGTTCTTTTTTCCTTTTCATGGTGCTTTAACTATAGAACTCTTCGCTCTCCCAAGAGTATCGTAATGTATAATAGAAGGTTAAGCAGTAAGTACTGTTTTTATGGTTACTTTGATAGCGCAAGTAATGCGCAAATCAATTGTTTAGCTAGATGTGAAGAATAGTTTCAAGGTAAAGATTTTTTTTCTCTCTTCTTTTTTTTTGTTTTTTTGTTACGTTTAAATTAAAAAAAAAATTTGAATAAAGTGAAGGCTTCGGCTTTAAAAATGAAGGCGCGTAAAGATGTCAAAAGCACTTGTGGACTTGATTTAGCGAAAATATTTCAAAATGTATTAATGGTATGAAATTTTCATGCAAAAGATATAATCTGATGGATTCTCAATTCTTATACATTTAATCAGCAAAGTACTGAAGAGGCGTAGTTTCTGCTTTTTTGCATTATTTTTCCGTACGTAAATGCCAAAGATGTGTACATGATCGGCGTAAAATTGTTGGTCGATTTAATAATGTGCTTATATCTGTCGTCCGTTGTTGGAATACCCTGAGCTGGAGAGCCGAGAATGGAAAGCGCAGGTTATTTGAAAAGTACTCCCTTGAACGGGACGATTATAAAATCCGTACACAAATGTTAGAGTACATGGTTGCAAATGTTTACCTAAATCTTATTACGATAATCGTTTCAGTGGGCCGATATGAGTGTCTTTGCGAAAATGGGAAAAATTTAATATCGCGTTAAACATCTCTTTTAAGATCTAATGTGTCCTTGCAAGTTAAAGAGAGTTTGGATGCTATGTAAGTGGTCTCGATGTCGTCATTTACCGCCATGAACTTTTGGGTAGATAAATTGAGACGTGGCCGTGTTAGCTTGCATGATGACGAACACTGTAACGAGAAACATCGCTCAAATTCAACGAATGAAGCGGGAAGACCTGCGAATTAAATTTAGAGAGATACCAGCGTTCTTGCCTCTATATAGAATCAATGCTCAGCTAAGCACACCTTGGGCAAAAAACTATAACTTGAAATGAAGCTATATAGAGTGACAAGGTTTGGTTAAACTTGAGAAGTGCTTTGTATGCCAAGATTTCCTTCCGTCACTGTAACTTTCGTTGTATAAGAACAGTTGAACTAAAAACTTTTTACGAAAAGCTCGCTAGGAAAATGGTGTAAAAATTATCAAGGCTTTCGTTAAAATTAATCAATTAAAGATCAATCAATTTACTCAAAAATTCGGATCCGACAATTAAAGAATACACTATTATTGGAAATGTTCCTCTTTGAGTGATCCTCGCAAATAACCACACCATGAATACGACATTGACGTTGTTGTATATTGAGAATAAAAAGTTCGTACTGAACGGACGAAAAAATTAATTTTTTTCTTCTTAACAAGATTACAAAACACACGAATAGTATCAATAAACCTGCTTGGATATGGATTATCTTATTCTTGCCTTTCTGTATATGTTTTCTGATTTAAAAAAAAAAAAAAAAAAACAAAAAAAAAAATATTGTTATCAAGAATTGTTTATATTAGTTCGCTTATTACGCCTTTACAAATGATTTATTGACGGATTTCCGTAATTGCTTTGTTGCCAAATTTCTTAGGTTGCGTTGCAAAAATTTCTTGAAAGATTTCCTTAAGACGCATTCACTCTGGCAAACGTTTCGAAATAACAAAATGATTACATTTACATTATGTGAACCATCCCGGTCGACTTAAAATATAAGTCAAGCATATCCAAAGTCAAAGTGGTTTGATTTAATAACTTAAAACAACTCTTGTTAATCATTTGATAAATTACGTGGCGTCGTGGCAAAGTAAGTCTGGCCAATTTAATTAGTCCGTGTGTTCTATAACGGTCGAAAGTTTATTTATCGATTATTATTTTCTATTCATTCATGTATTTACTTCCTTCTATTCGATCGACCCATACCCAGGCTGTGCTTTTGCTATTACTTTTAAAAGTGTTGCGCTCTTACCATATACTTATGCTTACACTAAGACCTTACCCGATTGTTTTACTTAGCGCATATTTCATTTTCACCTCAATTCATTGATCAATGGAGAGGTTTATAAATTTCAATTAAAATATTTCCACTTTTTTACAATTTTATTATACTTTGTTAGCACCAAGTTTTTTGTGATTTGAATTGAACTTTTTTATTTACACCATGTTTTTATATGTATATAATATATATATATATATATTGTTGTTTTTTTCAATTAAAATTCATACCTCACGCTCCACTGGTTTATTCATTTCGCGAAATATATTTGAGAATAAACCATCAACCCAATCTCTAGTATCGGGATCCAGAAAACCGTACAATTCGATTACCGTGCAAGCCTGTGATGTAAAGAGAAAATAAAATGAGAAAAATGAAAAAAAAAGAGTAAATAAAATAAAATGAGAAAAAAAAAAAAAACAAAAAACAACAACCACTTTTTAATGCAAATAAATAAAATTTACAAATAAAAATTAACAAATTGTAACAACACACAGATAAAACAAACTTGAAAATGGGTGAATAAAAACGAAAGAGAGATAAAATGTAATAAAATCATTTACATTGATGCCTTCAATGAAATAAATTTAAAAGTGTTGAAATGTGAATGGAAAAAAGGAATAAATTTCGATAAAAACGCCCACATATATATACAGATACTAACGCATCTTTAACAATTTTCATTAATATTATGACAGATACCACAGACATTAAATGGAAAATGAAATATGCATAAAAGCGCATTTAAATGAAGAGAAACAACATTTACATGCAAGAAACGGCCGCTAAAAAAATAGTTCAATCCAAAGAGGTAAAATAGTTTACATGTCCAATTTATCGATATAACAATGCGATATTTTTACAGCTAACCGCTGTAAAACGCAGAACGCGCGCAGATAGCTGGCAGATAGTACTTTCAGTAGAGTAAGCAGGCGATCGATTCGCTCTGTACAGAATTTTTAAAGATTTTCAGGGCATATGACCTAGAGTAGAAGAAGAAGGAGTTTATTGAAAAGTTTTTGAAGCAAATTTTGTCCCAGATCTGGGTACATTTTCCATAAGAGAGCATATTGTCCGGGTTTTCTCTTTATTTACTTTATGAACAACAAAATTCTAAGCTAACCACACTAACAAAATTTATATACAAAGTCGAGCCCGAGAAGGTAAGAATTACGACTATCGTCAGTCGGTGTTCGCGGATTCACATCTTAAGTGCGATAGAGTTTTCTTTGGTCGTAGCTGTAATGAGTGCTCGATTGGTAAAGGCACAACATTTATCGATTTTGCACTCGCCGACGGGGCTGCGGCCATGACTTTCGTATTTATTTTTCTGTTCTGGTTTCTTTCTGACTGTCACAATGCTAATCCAATAGGGAGTATTCCCTGAGTGATAGGGGAGTTCTCCCAAATTCTTTGTATCAAACCATTCCTGTTCTACGCAGGTAAAAATCTTTTTTAATCAAGTATCATTGCTATTAGGACACTATCGATCAATCGATGCGATCAAGAATCCAAAATTGGTAAGACTTTTACTAAAATATTTCACGGTATGATTAAAGAAATTAAAGAAAGATTCTTATCGGTTCATCAGCCTATCGTTTCCGTCCACCATGGAAAATGGCCGACTCGTTACCATCCAATGTTCATAAATGTAAATAAATTCTAGGTTTAATGCAGAGTGCAAGCTATCGAAAGATGAGCTACATTTTCAATTCCTATTAAATTCGATTTCGGTTTCTGCAAGTGTAGCTTATTCTCAATGATGTTTTCCTAAAAATCGGAAGAAAAAACCATGCTAGACTTGAAACTGGCAGAATTACTATAGTTGGAACGGATCGTCGTTACAATCTTAGTATTATACGTTTTATATGTTAAAGCTCGCCAGCCTTAAGGAATTTTCATTTTAAAAAGCAATATTCGTGTGGAGCTTGAAGACGACATTACCGCCATTTGTATCACCTTAGAGAAAGCAATCACCCAATGAGACAAATATCAATAACTCAATATTTCGCTTTTATAAAAATTCGAGGAAAAATTCAAATGATCTTTTATCGTATTGAGCTTTGAAATCAATATCGTGCCCCGAGTGGCTGAATAAAGAAGACAAAAGAAAACAGCAGAGCCATACTTTCGGGCGAATAACGATAATTTGCAACAATGGGAGCTGAGTTAAAAGTTTGGCTTTCATGTATATTGGAGTAAATTTTTTTAATTTCTAGATGTTGTGGAGACAAAACTAAATTGACCATAAGTCAAAATTTATTGATCAAAGTTGTGGATCTCTAATCTTTAGAGTATTTTTGTTTCCTTTTTTGCTCTCTTTGCTGAATAAATTAATTAAACGCTTTTTGAAATAAAATGTTGTACTATAAGTATTGATAACATTTGTATTGTATGATTGAGAACTGCATGTATATTTATATTCACATGCATGTGCTTGCATGTACGTATATAAGCAAATATTTGTTGTACATTTAAAAATGAATTCATTTATGTTATTTTGCGAACATGCTAAAGTATTTTAATGAACAATTTTGGTATGTTTGACCAACATTACCATCTTTTACTCTTTCATTTCTGTTATTTTTTTTTTTTTGCTCTTTATTTTTTTTTTATTTATTATCGTCCAACAAACTTTATAATATCGCACAGTTTATCATACAATTGTTAACTCGCATTATCTTTGTATGTTCATCACAAAACATTTCATTGCTTGTCAAAGTGAATGAAAACAAATAAAATGTGAATACGTTTTTTTTTTTTTTTTTTTTATTTTTAACTAATATTCTCTCCCTACTAAAACACATAAAAAAATTAATAGCAAAAATAAAATATTGATAAAAAAAAAAAAAAAAAAAAGAAAAGAAAAATGATGATGAAAAAGTAAAAAATTAGTTTTTATATAATGATTGTTTTCTTCTCTTTCTTCATCTTTTTTTTTTTTTTAGCTTTTTTATTTTAATCCTCCGCACATATATGTGGGACCATCTAGAGCATAATTTTATTTTCATCATATCTGATATGAAAAGCGAGAGGGACAGGGAGGGAAAATGCATAGCTATTTCAGGCACGCGTGTGTTTTAATTGCCGAACGATTTCACTCTAGCGTTAGACGATTGCAAACGCAATGCAGGCATGCGTTTAGTTAGAACATTTCTAGTGTACAGTTCTCCCTTTTAAAGAGAATTTATGGGATAGTGACTTTAGAAAATCCTTTCCAGCTGTACTTAGAACCTAAGTTTGAAAAAAGATGAATTTAAAAGAATATATAGGGAATTACGTATTGGCATCAATTCGATAGATTATAATGCCACATAGCCGTGCAGATAGGACTTGCGCTCCCGGATTTAAATGTCAGGAAGGAGGATTCAAATGTGGAGCAAGCTTGGTCGACCGTTCCCTATCTCATCCTTTTTCCCCATCACGCGACAAGAAATTGAGATACGTTGCTCAAATCACGTGGACATAATTAATCCGATTAAATTATTCATTACTTTGAAGGAAAATGAAAATTTGTTTGAAGGGAGGCATAGCTAGGTAAGCTTAGAGTAAGAACGAAAATTTTGATTTAAGAAAAGAAATTTGAAGCTTCGTTTCTCTGAATTATGAAAAGAATGACTTAACCTATATTTGAAGTTTTCTTGTTCCTCTTTACTAGTTCCTCAACTCAACTTTCAACTTAAATTTTTCCGTAAACCTTCTTTTCGCCAGACCTCTAGTGATTTTTGAAACGTGGCCGTAAATATATCATTTTATCTTGATAGAAAAAATGCCAAAGTGAATGACGGAGTGTTTGAAAGTGAAGTGTGCAATCTGCTTACAACCACGCCCTTGGTTTGCATTTCGCTGAACACATTTATTGCATTGAAAAATATATGCGATAAAAACACGTTCATCAAAGACAAAGTATGCCCTTACACTTATGTCCTGCCAAAGTTTTTGACGTAAAACTCAAACAAATTATTTTTAGGACCAAGTAAAATTATTGCGAGGGACCATTTTCATATACCCGTTTTGTAATGTAATATTATATAATGCATTAGTGTATTGAGGAGGTGGTAAGTAACGAGTTTCCTTGCATTCCTTATGCTCACAGGAGAATGATGCGTGGAAAGCGATAGAATTATTGAGAGAATGAATCTTACACCATATGTTTCGAAAAAAAACAATTCCTTGTTCGGGAAATGTCGAGAGGCCCATCGAAGAGGATTCGAAAGCCTAACATAAAATCTTAAGTACTATAAGCGCTTGCTTCAGGACCAATCTTCCTTAACGCTTTTTACACGGACGACTGCCACTAACGATGATCCGTTAAAGGTCCCCTTTATTGAGCTAACACATGTAATGAAACACATGGTGCACTGGTGAAATTTTACATTCGATATCGAGTAAATAAAATTCATAGTCTATTGAGCCCAATGGACTCACTGCTCGTTGAAAATTGCTCGATGACGGGAACTATCAACCGAAATCAACCGAAAGTTATTTTCGAGTTATCTCATAGAATTATCTTTTAAGACAGCAATGACTCCTTATGTGGATCAGGTTTTATATTGCCTTTATATCGTGATTATGATTTCAGTCGTTAGTAAGTTGATAGAAAAGTAGTCACTTGACCATCACTTGACCATCACGTGTACTGTACATAGAAAAAGAAAAAACCGTTCTCAGCTTGGTTCTAACAATGTATTTTCTGTATATCGTTACACATGATAAATTTAACTCTATACGTATATATTATATGGAGGGTGTTAGATACATATACATATATCCATGCGGTCGTTATTTGTTTTGCATATGTTTAAACTAAATTAACAAAAAAAAATCAGAAAAAAGATGCGAACATATAGAAAGGGAGAAAAAGAGAGGAGAGTAGAACGATGAAAAACGAAAAGGATAGAGAGACAGGAGGGGGGAGAGAAATAAACATTAAATCGTGTTTTTAACATATATTACATACGGAGATAGAATGCAACCGAGTGAATATGTCACAACAATAAACATTCATTGCTAAGCATTCGTACACGTGAACAACAACTGCGTATTTCTAAGCATTCGTCGTGACTTTGAACAATTCATTACAAATTTTTAGCTAATTACTTTGGGAAACCTTTTCTGATATTATGTGTTAACTGGTACCTGGTGTATGCGTCAAGCTAGTCTGGTATGAGTTTTCATTCCAGTAAAACTTAATGGTAGAACATCTAGTTAATTAACTTTGAATGTGAAATTATTTTTTGTTTAGAATATGGTTGCAATCTCGAAGGGAAAAAACAGTACTTTTTTTTTATATAAAAAAAAATTCGTTTTTTCTTTTTTTTTCTTTACTATGTGAAAGAATGTCGATTGTCTTGTAGAGAATTTTATATAAGAGTTTATATTGTTAATGAATTCGCTTAAATTGTTGTTTAAAATTGCTTTTAACAAAAAAATGAAGAAGAAGATTTATCCTTATGTTTCCTATATCTCGCAACGAATAAATAAATAATATTCTCTTTAAAGAGCGGATCAAAAATTTTTAATATCATATTCCAAGATCAGTTGATATTCATAAAACTCTAAGGCGAATTGGGAAACCTGTGTTAAGAGAATCGTCTTTCGTAAAGGCGAAGTAAATCTTATCAAAGATTTCTGCGAGAGATCAGATCAGAAGAGATCAGAAGAAAGCACAACTGGAAAGCACTAAATTATATTTGGAAACGCACTTAATTGGTTCTGGCATTAAAAGCTTGTGCCAGGTGAAGACAGTGGATGTGACACAAACCAAAAATAGAATCAAAGAAAAGGAAACCTTTGGATTGTTTTCGTTTAAATGCATGTGCAATACTTCCTAAGAGAGTGTGAACTGAAGTGACATCATGGCTGACAGCTGGAAGCTGTAGCTGATACGATGGATGTATAGGACGTAGGCGACGTTTCGAGTGTAGAATGCCTGAATTTGGTCTTGACACCATTGAATGAGGATGGTCGTGCTTGCTATCAGCTTATACTAGAATGCAAGCTAATGGAGTAAGTATTGGTGTTTGGTTTTCAAACGGCGGTGATACAGTTATACTTTAAAGCTCCTGCCCCCATATATAGGCCAGGCGATCTTTGGAAACCCATGAAATCGACATCTGTTTATTTTTCGTTATTAATTCGTATAAATTTGTCGAATTCGTGTCGCGAAGTATTTCATAGCAAATTGTTGTTGTTGGAACATCGCAATTAAACTTCTAATGGATATTGAAACCGAAGGCAATCAGTCCTGTTTCTCTGACATATTTGACTCCGTACACTTGACTTTATGATGTATCCTATCTATAAACGCTTTGTTAAATCTCCTCATTAGACTTTCTTTTTATAGAATATTGTCGGTTGTGCCCTTAACTAACATTCTATAATGCGCTGACTTTTCAAACATCTCAGGAAAGAATTAAAATCAATTTTGAATATTTAATACATTGAATGTTTCCTTCCTTCACTTTAGCATAATTATCGTAATTACATTGTTCAACTCGTTTCGTTTAGGCGAATTACTACAATATCTCGAACCTGTTATAAAGCATTTAACAAAAGTAATATTAGAGGATACGGTTTACGTGCAAGCGCCAGCATATCGATAAATAGACATTTACCTTAGGGTTAAGTGTAATGCATTTGGTTGGCAGACCCATGTAAGTTTGAGCTTTAATTAGAGTATTTATAACAACAGTTTTACCGCCACCTGTTGGCCCCACCAGCATAGTTGAATGTCGGGTCATCATTGTTTCATACATTTGAACGACTTTGTCTTCCTATAAGAAATTTTAATAAAACAATTAGAAAAAAAAAAAAATTAAAAAGGAACAAAAAAAGATAAGAATGTGTGTGTATGTAGAGTAAAATGCCAACGAAAACTACCATCGGATATATATACATATACTACATATAAAAGGAAAATTCCGAACCTAGAGATGCATTTTGTTGCTGTTGTGGCAAGAAGCCTGAGCATCAACACCGGCAATTAATGATGCCCAAGCTCTACAGATCACAATATGACAAAGTAATTTGAAGAAGTGTTGTTATTATTAAAGCATTTTTCAATTTTTGTTTTTATTTATTTATTTATTTTTTTTTTTTTTTATAGAAAATTTGTTAAGCAATTATGTATGCGCTCAGATATATATACATGTGTGTGTGCGTGTGTCTTTGTGTAATTAAGGTATTACTACAGCAATTTTCTTTATCACTCTATTTGCTCGCACACCAATCCAGATGTGATGCATTTGATGCTTGCGTACGTACGTCCTCTCATTTTTCATTTAGCTTGCTCGGTATCGCTTGCATACCCGATTCTATTATAGTCGCATTTTACAGCTAGCCTTATTTCGATCTACTTCACCATCCCAAAGCGCAATTTACAATGTGTCAAAGTGTCAACGCCTATGATACTCAAAAGGGATTTTCCATCATTGGAATTTTTCTGTATAGAATTTATTGTAGAATGTCAGAGATAATAATGCCAAGATTATGACATTGTTGTTTTCCTATTCTAGTTGTTATTGTTACTGTTATTGTTGTTGTAATTTTTGCTACCATTCTACAGCAACAATAGAGAAGCAACAGCACCAGTAACAGCACCAGTAACAGCACCAGTATAGCAATGGTAGATATAGTCGTGCGTAGTAGAGTAATGGCATCAGCAGTGTCAACTCTAAAGCACTAAGACTTGTTGTTCGAGTTGCTATTTTCAATGCCGGAAGGATGTTTTTATGTTTATGTATGTATGTATGTATGTATATATGTATGTATGTATGTATGTATGTATAGACGAACGTATGCGCCTCCTGTATACCTTGAAATGCAATGTTTTCTACTGTTGTCCACTTTGATACGTCAAAGCTGAAGCATTCCTAATGTGATGATGTCGTTGCTGCTGTTAATATTTATTGTTGTTGCTGTTCTTGTTGCGTTGTATCGTTCAAGGAAGTAAGAAAATTGATTTTTTCCATTCTTTTTTTTTTTTCTCTGTTTTTCTTTCGCCATTTTTGTCGTTTTATTTATTCTTATCTTCATCGTTATATTTTTATTTATGTTATATTTCTAAAGTTTTCTAAAACGAGATATTTCAACTAAACTAAGTTTGCTGTCATATATTCTTAAGAACTCAAGCAATTAGTTAGGTTAGTGGCATTATTCATTCGACTTTCACTTTAGAGATTTCTACTTCTTGTCCTTTGTCGGTCTACTTATCGTTATATAATACTTTCAGCTAGAATTTCAATTTATGATTAAACGAATTTCAATAGGTAAAGGGTACTTAGCATTTCGTATAAATCGGTTTGATTTTTTCATAAATAATAAAAGAAGAGCACTTCAATTTTGTACATTTGATATGAGAACAAGTTTATGTACTCATATACCCTTGAGCGTGAAAATGAAGAAATTGTTCTTTCAGTTGTAGTACACATTGTTTTACATACCTGATCTGGTAGCAAAATGTAACCATCGTTTACAAGACAATGACGAACGGCAGCATTAAAGTCCGGATAACCAATACGAGGGCAATCGACACCCGGAAACAAATCCTACGCAATAATATATAAAATAATTGTTACAGAAGAGAATTTTATATTCATTGTATGCTTGACGCGATTCATTTTCAATATGAAGTTTGAAAAATAATCTAAATATTTATCGGCAGAGAGAGAATCAAATCGTTTGAAGGGAGTTATCGGCAAGAAAACCCTTAAGGGGCCTTTTTTCAGGCTGATAGCCTTCGGTACACCGATACAACAGAAGAGTTTATAGTACACGAGTTATACCTCTGAAAAGATCGTACTCTAATCTTTACAGGAGAAGATTGCATATGTTGCTCGAAACCTCAAGATCACCATGTTTGAGTAAAACTTTTACTTTTTTTTTTACGCTCAGGACATGATTCGCATCGTGTCCAATAGGTAGAGCACGGAAACAAGATGGGCAAAAGTTCAGAATTGCCGATTTATATATGCCGTAATAATTCTATTAGGCTGACCTTTTGGTTTCGGGTCAATAAGCCGACTAAAAGGCGCGAAAAAATTACAAGCGATGTAAGAGAGCCGAAAGAAGAAGGCTAGCTACCTTAATTAATCCTAAAAATAGGGGAACATCTTCGAATATGAATTTTGGAAAGTTCATATCACGTAGTACACGCATCAACACTACGGCCTCGGGTAGATCTTCCGAAAGACGTCTCATTACGCCTGCCATTCGCAAAACCGAGTTTAGTGATCTTAGACCCCAATCATAGTGGCATTGTTTGGAGAGTTGTTCTTGAGCCAATGCGTATAAAACTGTCATTTTCTTAGCCAAAATCTAAAAACAAAAAAAAAAAAAAACAAAAAGAAGTAGAAGAAGAAATGTTTGATTTGGAAATTTTCTCGAAGATTACCTTCGCTGTTAGGAAACCGTCGGAGAAAAGTGAAATTAAGCAAATTAACTCTAAATCGGGCTTAATACAAGTAACCGGTCTGAATAAAGCTTTAACTGATTCGGGTAATTCTGTACGTCCAGCATAGCCAGGATTCATGGTCACGAATATACCAACCTTCCGATCAATTTTAATTTCACTGCCTTCAAACTAAAGAAAGCAAGGATGGGTTAGTAATTTAAAAAAAAAACAAAAAAAACCAAAAACCTCTTAGGTTAGATTACTTACGACAAATCTTTCGAGTTTTCTTATCAAAGCGTTACGTATCGTTTGCAGTTGCGTTGATATCACACTTAGTACTGAAATGTCAATACGATTGAATTCATCAAAACAACCCCAAGCACCGCATTGAGCTAAACCTGACAGTATCGTGCCAACGGCACGGAAATCCATGCCTTCGCCGCAATTAGTAACAACGCATAGTAAAGCCATCGCTTTAGCTAAATCTTTCGTAGTCTCAGTTTTACCGGTACCAGCTGGCCCGGCAGGAGCACCGCCCAAATTCATTAATAAAGCCTGTGTTATGGTTAGATAAATACGATCGGTTAGCGGAGTAATCACCAAACGTGAATTCAAACCCAAATATTCGTAGCCATATTCAAAAGTTCCCGTACACTGAACCACATACAGATTATCGCAAGATTTGAACCAATAAAAGCGCAATTGACTCTCCCAACTGAATTCGCCGGCATCTAAAATGTTGTCACGCACAAAAGCCTCAATAATATCGCGGGCATGCACATCGATAGTGGCAATCGATTTGAATTTTTTCCGATCGTTTAACGACAGATTTGAACGTACTTTCAAAACTAATTCTTCCATTTGATAGTTTTGTTTTGCCAAAAAATCTTTCATGGCTCTTAAATTGCCATAATTTTGAGCTTGATTAAATGCTTCCTCCACTTCGGCCGTCCACCATACTTGGCTCCCAGCTAAGCCTACCATACACTGATAGTTCATAAGCCAATCGGGCCTAAGGCCCAAAAGAATTAAGAAAATAAACAAATTAATTCCCATATATAATAAATAAATAAAAAATTTCTTTACATTATTATTACTACTCTGATGGCATCGAGGAGAGGCCATCAGAACAAAAAACAAAAAAGAAAACGCATAATTTTCCCTTTTTATTAAAATTAAAACGGAAACGACATCGGTGTGACCACAGTTACCACTACCATCAATACTGCTGCATACTGCGTCAGGAGTGTTATATTGATATTGTGGTTAATCGATGGCAATAAAAAGATAAATCGCCCATAACGAGAATATTATTCATGGCAAACCATAAAACAACGAAATTGGTTGTAGCAGCAGTTGCTTCTTTTGCGAATAGCTCCTCGCATTCGCACAGGCGTGTATGCCTGTGGTCTTCGCACACATATATATATACGAACGTTATATACATATATATATATGCGTTGATTATAACCTATGTGCGTACATACCTTGCTATTTCGAGGTCAGTGCCATAATCGAAAATAGCTTTTTTTGTTTCATAACGATTGGAGCGACGCATCTCAGCCAATACATCGTTCATCCAATTCTCTACACGACCCTGAGCACGCACTAACCAAAGGGATTAATACGAACGGAAAATTATTTAAGAAATACGCAAAAAAGCAAAAACAAAGGAAATAAAGTTAAATAAAAGATAAAACCGAAAATCAAATATATATATATATATATATATATATATATATATATACGAACAATGTTATTGTTGTATTGTATGTATTGTGTATTGTTTTAATAATAATGTAAACAAAAAGGTCAACAATCATAATAACAATAACAACAATAATAAGCATAAGCATAACGAGTTTGATGAAAGATCTATCTGAACACAAAGTTCGCTGCGAAAGCAATCATCATCATCATCATCCGAGAAGAGACAATTTTTATATAAAAATACTTTATTGAACACAATGAGAACTTTCGGAAAGGAAGTCGCTTCTTTTAGAACAATAATATGACAAAATATTGAACACAGATAGAAACCAATCAAGAGTAATAATAAGCAAAAAAAAAAAAAAACAAAGAAAAAGGAAAAAAAAAAATATTGAAAAATTTTTATTTCTTGTGTTTCTTTGATTCTTCCTTTCACTAAAACGTTTTTTTTTTTTTTTTTTTTTTCTTGTCATTAAAACAAGTCATGCTGCGAACATTTTAAGTTAATCGTTATTAGTAATGTCGATGCTTTTGCTGTGTAGCTCTTTACTTTTCCGGTTTCCGTTTTCGCGAGGATTGGGTTGAATTTTCAAATACTTTCCAATACTTTCAGTCAATTTCAAACGGAAGTATAAGTTAAATTGCCCGATGGAAATGGAAGTGATCCATTTCATTTCAATGATTATTTCATTGCAGTCAATAAATTACTTATTTCTATCTATCAAAGAAAAAATTAAAAGAAAACTAAAAAATTACTAAAAAAAAAAAGAGGATAAAAAATAAATAATTATTTGTAATAATATTTAACAAGTATTCATATTGCGGACTACAGGAGACGCTGAAACTTTGCAATGGAGAAAAATGTCGATAAGATGTTGGGTGGCTAGAGAATTGAAGAAAATGGCTGATGAACTCACAGTCTGGTTAAATCTTCCAAAATAGGTTGCAAGACGTTTCCATAACATTTTTAGAGTTGCCTTCCTATGGAAGAAAAATAATCCATAAATCTCACGAAAGAGAGGGGAAAGAACTGTAATCCCAAGGGCACGTAGAAATTCAACTGTTTTGAGTGAAGATGGCCAATAATCAATTTAATCGCTTCAATTTTTTGCTTACTTCACTTTGTCCTGGAGGGAAATTATATCAAGGCCGTGTTCAGCTTTTCACCGGTAAAGTCAACTTTGTTCGACGAGTATGCATTTGATATTACGTAAGGCGAGCTAACACATTTGTATCGCATTTGCTATTGCAAAGTAGTAACGACGTGGCAATTGGAAGACAACGAGAACTGACTCAACTTTGAAATCGTCTTAGTATATATTTTTTTTAAATTTTAACTCAATATTTTTATATATATATATATATATATATATATATATATAGTTTATTTTCCAACTCGATCTGTGGCTATGAATTAAGAATATCTATGCAAAATATCAACTCGTTATCCTAACTTTTGCGAGCCTAATCGCTTCTAGAAATACACTGACAGGTCAGCTAAACATCCCTGAGTATTACGAAACGAAAGGCAAAAAACCTACAACATTCCATTTGCCCGAAAGGTCACACCATCAAAAAAAATTCAAGTCCCGCATTAGTAAGAAGATGTAGAAACCCCTAAAATGCCGCCACGTTTTTGCTTTCTTTTCGAATTTACATCTTAATATACTTTCTAGCTTCTCTTCTCTTCCCCATCGGGCACAACTGTTTATCATAAGCAATTTAGAACAAAATTGACGGTTTACACACACACATCAACTCTGTACTTGCGGTAAAGAGTTGTTGTAGCTATTCAAACCGTTCAATGCGTTCACAATAAGACCCAGAATAACTAGGACTGATATAGTAATTGGAGCAGTAAGAGCATCAATTAAGAGCTTAATTAAAAAATCTGTCATTTTGATTGCTAATCTTTTGCTTCGCATTAAGCCAAGACTGTAGAACTTTGGAGATTTCTGGATGAAGAACTACTGAACCAATTGATTTTCATAGATCACTATGTACACCATCAGGGGAAGCCGAGGGAGAGAGAGTGAGGCAGCAAGATTCAGGCGAAGTTCCCAGCCAAGTTCTGTAAGGTTGTGCGGTGTCAACGAATAATTACGTTGTCTCGCATGACGCCTTTCCTCTTGTTCAAAAGTCTGCGTGCTTCGCTTTGTGTGTGTGTGCAGAGATTAAAATCAGTCGCTTGATTTGCGCAACTCCAGTTCCTTCCAATTCCATCAAACAAAGAGAGTTAGGTTACGTGCCGTTGAACTTTGGCATCGTTTATAAAATTTTATTCATCCTGAAACATGACCTTTTTTCAACATTCGTGTTGCTTGTAATTCATTCAGAAAACCTAATCATTTTAATTTAACGCAAAAGTTACGAACAATTATTCATGTGAAAGTTTATTCGGCGATAATTGGATCGTCGCTTTTTCTTTCTTACATCTATCTACAATGGAATCTTTTTAAATTGTTAACTTTTTTTTCTTTTACACCGAAATATCCGAAGGGCAAGCAAATATAACAAAAATAAGAAATAATGAATAAATTATCCGATATTTATGTTGAAATAATTGAAAATTTATAGATTTCTTTTGATTTTTTTTTTTTTATTTTTTTTTTATTTGTTTTATCGCCATCTTGTATTTTAGCAGAAGTAGTAGAAGAAAGAAAAATATAAAAGTGAAAATATTAAGAAAAATTGCTTCTTTGCATGCAGTAATAACACGGTCTTCTGTAACAGTAATACTACACGTATACAATGTTAAATGTGGTCTCGAATTCGTATTAAAGAAAGATTTTTATTTTGGCCTATGCCAACTGACGAAGAGAAAGTTAAATAATGAATGAAGCCAATGCAATTAATTAATGCAAATAAAGACAAATTGTAGTAAAATACTGAGGATGAGGGAGAGAGAGAGAGAGGGATAAGAAAGAGGAAATGTTGCAAAAGAAAAAGGGATTGAGGAAATGTTAATCGCGTTAGGTCGAATTTAAAACACACATCTCTCTTGTCCGTTGAACGCAATTCATAGTATGCTATACCCCGATCAATGGTCGATAAGTCGATTTTATAAAAAGTGAAAGTTTGGCATAAGTATAAGGATGAGAACAAAGAGAAAATTTGATGAGGGTACATTCCTTTAAAACATTTTTGGACAACAAGTTCACTATAGACTTTTGCACGTTCGGATTTTGACTCCTGTTTTGAACACCCATTGTCATGACATTTAATAAGTTCAAGCTTAAGACAAGGCTTTTAGAAATGGATCAACGCACAGTCGCGCCCAAGGCATTAAAATGTTTATGAAGAACAATTAATGAGGTTTTAAAGACATTTCTATCGAAAGGGAATTTCAATCCCAATAAATGACAATACGGTTGTTGTTGTGTTTAGGCTAACCATACAGTTGGCCGATTTTAGTTTGGGAATGTCCTGCTTGGAAAGACCCTATATTTTTTACTTAAGCTATTGCATATTGGGTTTTAGTAGTTCCTACGTCTGTATATTATATATCTTGCCAATTTTTTTTTTACTATATGACCAACCATTCAGATTACATCCTCTACACCGGCAGATAGGGAAGGGTTGTATATGGAGAGGGATGAAAGAAGGGTTAGCATTTGTGTACGCTCGTCTTTTCGGCCCGGTGCGGAAGAGACTACTTTTGATAGATTTTTCTAGGGACGGATTTGTTTCATTCGGTCCTCGGCGGCACCGAAATCACTTTTTACATATTCCTTTCATCGCTCTCTTGCTTTAAGTCCTTATAGTTCCCTAAATTTTAGTTCTAAGTGTCTATGATTCTATGAATAAAAATGGCCAAACTGTCATGGCATAAATTAAAATAAAAAAGAAGAAGAAGACAAGAAGAATGAAGAGCTGTACATTACGAAAAGCTTAGTAAATTCAGCGAATTTATATGCATGTGCTCGTCGATGATGAGCTAACAATTAAACAAACAAAAAATGTTAAACATAAAATCAGTGCCAAAGTAATTGTAAACAAATCCTTAACGCTACCGGACAACACCCTTACAATTTTCCGTAACGATGGAAAAGACAGAGGACGGTACTGCATTGTTTGATTGCATGATTTTCCAAAAAAAAAAAAAAAAAAAGAAAGAAATGATGAGAAAAGAAAATTCGTCATTTATACTTGCAACACTACCCCCGTCCGCAATACAAACGACTTTTTGCTTACCGCTGTCCCTGTGCGGCAGTGATGAAAACAAGAGAAAATTGAAAATATATTGAGAACAATTATTATTATTATTATTATTATTATTATGATCATTGCAATTCTTCTCGAATGTCTTTGTATGAGTAGATGTATATGCTCCAAAGTGAGAGAGAAAAAAAAAAACAAAAAAAAAATATCACATTCTATATACAATTAAAAGACTTTTGCTTACCATGCTGGCGAAAATCGAGTACCTCTCCCTCGGTGGATATCATGGCAGTAACAACGGTTAGGTTGGCGCTTTCCTTAATAAGACGCAAAGATTTCACATTATCGTACATCTATATATATATATGCACATACATACATACATATGTATATGCGTACGCGTATCAAGATAGAACGGAATCATGCAGAGTAAAAGAAAGCAAATAATAATTATTGTAGAGAGAAACTACTGCTATTTTGTTAGGGAAACCGGCAATAACAATAACATAAATATTTATATGCATATATACTTTAGCGCAAAGAGGAAAGAGAACGCAAAAAAAAGGAAAATAGAGCTAAGAGACGTAAGAAATTTTTATAAATATAATTAGGGGATAAAAGCAAAGAAATGAAAAAAAAAAAAAAAAAAAAAAAAAAAACTAAATATTAATAATGCAATCGCAACATTTTGCCAATCATCATTATCGGCACCACAGTCAGTCGACGAGGCATCAATGCCAACACAATATGGTGTAGCGTGATATTATGATAATATCGCACGTAATGCTTTCATTGAATTTCTATAAATTTAATTTCACTCCCACTCACCCCACTCACATTTTGTGATGGTGATGATCGGGGAGTTAATGGACCTGAAAGAAAAATGTATAATACATCATAAGAAGAATAATTTACCTTAATAATATGATTTTGTACAGCCGAAGGTTCCGAACTGCCCAAGATCGATAACAATTCATCCGTAGATATGAAATAGAAACGTGGAAATATGCGACGCTTTGATTCCAAATACTCGTTCAATGATTTCTGACAATTCTCTAAACCGACACCCAAGCCCTGTATATCGGTTAAACGTCCGGGTATAGTACAAAACGGTACCACCAAAGGATTTTTGGCACAATCCAACATTATCTGTAATAATGTACGTGTTCATGAGACACGCAATAACTAAGCAAGTTAAACAAATAAATCGTCATAGGTTATGTTGTAACATACAACCAACCATCCGACGACAAACGTATAATATGCATATATGATGATGATGATGATGATAATGATGATGATGATGTATGCATAAAGAAAATATGAAAATAAGAATAAACGTGGAAAAGATTGTATTTTTCAGCAAACAATAAATCATGAATATTTGCGAATATATGCAGCAATGCGACAAATGTTGCAAAGCTAATGAAATCAACGACATATTCTGACGAGTTAACACATATATATATATATATATATATATATGTGTGTGTGTGTATATGTAATACTTGTCGATGGTTGCCGAATGTACCCAAAAGCATATTGACTAATATTGGCAGAACGTGAATTTATGACTTCTAACCTTAACCATATATATATATGTGCGTATGTGCATATTGATGTTTTCTCACTTACCGCTTACAAACTGTATGTTTATGCACAACTGTACAACATTTTTGTATGCGTGCACGTAAAATATGTAGAAAAACGCTTACGCAAACAAAAGAATACTTTGGAACGTTTGCTATGCAAACATATTTGTGGGACATGTCAAGATTTAAGAGCGATTTATTAAGGGACAACGCAGAATTCATCTTTCCTTTTTTTATCTCGACGTGGTTAGCATACATGTCGAAGACACTACACAACCTACGCTTGCTAAAACTCGCAAAGTAATGACAAAAATATTTCCATGGTGGAGGCGGCTTATGACAGAGTCTTGAAATTTTTTGCATATAAATGATCGAATGCGAATGCGAGAATATACCCTTACGTTTTTGATGTAGTTTTTATAACAATGGTGTTGGCAGGACATTATGCAGTTTAGTTACTTGTCTTGTATTTAATTAATTTCGTTCGCAATGCTCGCGAAATGTCTTCTTGAAAGCCGGGGAAGACATATGAGATTTAGTTTCTACCGCTTTCCATTGGAAGATATGATGATAACATAAGGTTTGGATGTCTATACAAGAAAGCAATTATCTTTAAGATTTTCGCGCGATTATAAGCATATAGAAAATAATTTTGTAATTTTCTTGCGAATCGATATCAATCTCAAAAGTCCTACTTGGAGACGGGGGATGAAAAAAAAAAGGCGTGCTAAAGTGTGCTAGGCGCAAAAAATTCCTATGCAGGCCAAGCGAGTCGTTAATGTCGATTGTGAAAATCGAATAGCCAAAAGCGCTTCTCAGTTTAAGAGGATCATCATGGGGTCTTATCTGTATCTAGCCAAAATAACTAAACCATCACTGAGTGGGCTGATGATAACAACTAAGGCAACTAATGCAACTGAAGGCATATTCCTCTCAAGACTTTTTGCTTAACAAGCTACGTTCGGTATAAGTTCTGTTGCCATTCGGGTGAAGGCCGAAACTGATCTTCCCACGGAATATCAATTGTATTGCTTAGCAATTGTCAATACTTTGAATAAAATACCATGTCTTACTTCTCTAAAACTTATTTATCATAAAACTCGAGGAAATCGAGTCGTATACTTAGTAAGCGGTTTAATATGACAGTGAATAAATGATTACCCAACAAAAAGACATTTTTATTCAGCCTAAATTTATATCATTTCGTAATGGGGATGGATATTTAATTTTCACCTACAAATGTTCTAGTGACTGACACTTAATGATTTGCATTGTATAAGAAAAATCTGTACGCTTTATAAAGCGTAAAAATGTAATGGCATTCGTAAGCATTTAAAACTATAATGAGACGAAACGATTGTGTGTAACAATATAATAATTCAATAGCAAACATATTTTACTACTTACGCGCCTGTAAGCCTTATCGATATCGTCGAATTTTTTCGCCTCATCTGGTAATTGAGCGCGTATATCACCGCCAATGAAAATACCCTCCAGATATAGCCATTTACGTTGCACAACCAGCCACTCATCGATTATTTCTGATATAAGTGATAAAGTACGTTCCCATTTATTGACCGTTTCTAAGAATGGTCCAATGAATCTAATAGTAATGCAAGCAAGGAAGAGGTAAAGCAGAAAGAGAGAGAGAGAGAGAAAAAGAAGAAAAAAAAAAGAAACGATTACTTACTTCAAGTCATCTAAAACCATTAGTATAATTCTTTAAATGTCATGCTATATAAAGGAAGCAAAAATAAAAGCTGCAACAATATTACACTAGAAACATGACCATTCAATTCCATTACACTTAAATGTATTCGGATGGATGGGAGGGTGGTTGGGTGGATGGATGGATGGATGGATGGTTGGATGCATCGTTATACTTACTGTGAGGCGCCCATTGATTGAAGATTCATTGCATTTTCTTCAAGAGATGCTACAATCTCATCGACAGCACCCAACGTGTGGCCACGTTCTTCAAGGCCTTTATAATGCTTATGCACCTTAAATGTCATGTTAGCCCAAGTATCCTCAACTACTCGAACACCCTTCTCAATGCCCAATTCTTTGATGGCATTATTTAGGATTTGCTCAGCAATTTCCTATTGAAAAATGCAATGAAAATATTTAAACCATACCGAATGACGTTTTGCTGTTTTTTTTTTTTTTTCGTTCTTTTCCTTCTTTTTCCTCTTTGGCGAGTCAAAAAAGTAAAACTAAACACATACCGTTAGAGATAGGCGGCTACATCGTAGATAGGTATGAGAGAATACATAAAAGCATTACAGTTAAAGAAGGTATTATATGCTTGAAGTTTTTCTGTTTGCTTAGTTGTGTGCTACACATAATGCTAGTGTTTAGCTCTCTTTATTATTTTTCGAAGGAAGTACACAACAACATCAGCTTGTTGCTATCTGTTTGTTTGCTTGTTTGTTTGTTTGTTTATTTGTTTGCACGTACACTTCATGCACTTTGAAACAATTCGTATTGTTTTTAAAAAGCAAACAACGCTTTTGGTAATTGCTTTTCTTCTTTTCTGCCTCAAAAACATTCACTACTCACCTACTATATGAACATTTTGGTGTTGTATTTTGTATGGTGTTTGCACTCACCTGATATTTGTGCAATTGCATACCGAACATATTTTCCAAAGTAAAACGTTCGGGTGACATATCAAAGTATTGCCCAGTCTTTTCCATTAGCTGACGCCAGTGACGTTCTCTTAAAGCCTCGTTCTTTAAGCTCACCATTAACGGTACAGTACCTTTGAATTGTTTCATATTTAACTCTAAAGCCTGACCAACTGGCAACTGTCGCACCTGTCAAGTGGAAAAAAAAAAAAAGATATATAAAAAAAGGAAACAAAAAAAAAAAAAAAGGAAAAAGAAAAAAGGAAAAAGAAAAAAGAAAAAAGAAACGACAGCATCCACCATATGTGGACAAGAAGAGCACTAACAACTGCCACAACAAAAGAGATTCGTGTGGCGTGAATATGCATATATACGGTAATGGTAAGTGTATACGGTCGGTGTGCACGGATTAATGAAAAGTAGGAGAGCTCATGTGTGCGGTTAAGTTGCATTAAAATAGAATGGCAGATAGATGAATTAACTTTTCCGTAGCGATTTTAAGATAATAAAATAAAAATAAAAAATAAAAAGAAAAAAGAAGAGCACGCCATTAGGTGGCGAAAGAGGTAAGAAAGGTTTTCTTTTAATAAATCTGTCAGAAAAGATTTTGCATTGAAAAGAGTGGTGCATGTCTCCAACAGTCATATACGTTAAATTGCATTTATTATAAGCGCATGTCGCGTCAAAATTTTTTGCGGCGTCAACAGCCTTCAACCTTGTATTATATAAGAATATATTATCTTTACCTTAATTTGTATATAAAATAAATTTATTTTAAATGTAGAAAAAAAAGTAAATAATAAAGCCGTCTAGTTACCCCGCTATTGAATGTTATTGGACTTAATCGTTGCCTATGATTTACAAGACCAGAAGACGACATACAAGATTTTTTTAGGTTTAGGAATCAACTTTTACCGCCCGATACAAATGAAGCCTTCCGATCCTTGTTACTATAATGAAATGCTCCTCCTCTCTTTCAAATAATTTTTTTTTTTTTTTTTTTTTTTTTTTGGTAATAAATCATGAGGTTGAAAAGTGCAAAAGATCCTTCTTTTCTAAGAGGTTGAGTCCTGTAGAATCTTTAAACAAGATGTATTACATATTCTCAACTAATCATACAATTGAGTTATAGTTTTACGAGGTGTGTGTGTATGTATCTATAGCATCAATTTCAGACCAAAGCAAGTTAATCAACATGATTCGGTAGTGTTGCGGTTGCATCTCGTTGTGGTTTTAGATGATGGTAGACGATTGCTCTTAGATTTGCAGAGTTGCAAACGTGATCGTTTCGATTGCTTGCATACCCAGATAGACGAAAATGTAGCTACTAATCACTCAAAATAAATTTATGATGTTGTTCCTGCATTCCCAGCAATGTGAGAGAAACTTTTAAGTTTTATTTGTCAAATATAATCTCAGTCATGATTTTTCTGTTGACAGTGAAGTACAAAACAATATCAGCTAAGAATGGCATATGTAACTCGTTCGCAAAAAAATTCCTCATACAAAGCGAGTCATAGCGTGGAAGTGTTGTAATATTTCCAAACTTTAGTTTCTTTAGAATCGATATTTGAGTTGAGTATAATTTACTTAAAACCTTTTGACCCTCTCTAAAGGGGGTATAGGTTTTAACAAACAAAATTCCATTTGCCTAAGAAGATCGAAGACAATTCGAAATTTAACGAAGTATTTTAAAGAGGATCAGTCCTTCGTCGATCGTCAAATTAATATTAAATTTCGTATATTATGATATCAAAATCATTTCTCGCATGGGAGAAAATTTTCAAATTTGATTTAATAGCATTTAGATAAACTAACTACAATTTTATTAACTACAATGGCTAAATCTATAAATTGTCTACATTCGATAATACTGTTAGGCAGTGAAAGAATAAGCCTCGTAGACTATTTAGAATAATTATATCTCTGATTTCTCCTAATCCTGATAATGATGATGATGACGATGATGATGAAATATTTACGCGTTGCTTAAAGCGTTTTTCAGAAAATCTCATAACCACAGTTGACTAAAATAATGTCAACAGAATCTATTGTAGGTAGACACATATATCCAGTGTACAAATATCTACAGAGATATATAAACACATGCAGAGCCATACACATGCATACATCCACCTATTCATATGCATGAACTGACACGCGGAACCATATAAATGCATTTACAATAGCTATGTTTTAATTTTCAGTAACGTTGAGTTGCTGCCATTACCCAATGCATTCATGTATGTATGTATGTATGTATGTATGTATGTATGTATGTATGTATGTATGTATGTATATACGTATACATATATATATATATATATATATATATGTCCCGCTTAGAGCTTGTGATAATAAATGGAAATTGTAAATGAGTGTTGTTGTGTTTCGGTTGAGTTTGGAAAATTTTAATTTGGTCTTGTTTGTATGGTTGATAAACCATCAGTAACAGTATGCGTGTTGTGGGCGTTATGTGCGGTGGGCGTTTGCCAAGTGACGAAAGGGAAATGTGTGGCTTATATAACATACGTATGCAGCAATTGCTGCTTTAACTTTATATTTTCAATCTTCAACCCGGCTGCACTGTATGCGGCAAATGGGTAAACGTATGCGGCCATTATTCGTAATTGGCGTATGCTCTCAACTCAACTATTTTAATTGTTTTAATTTTAATCAAATTGATTTGGGCGCGTTCGCTTACACATATAGATATATATATATATATATATATATATCCACAATGCACCTTTGTACATATAGTAAATGCACTACTACTACGACGACGATAAAAAACCAACTTTAACTCATACGTGTGCATTCATAAACACACACACACCGATCTACAGTCACATTTAGGCTTTTATATTTTATAATGAGTACCCGACTCCCATTTGTAGTTGTGGCTACGTTTAAATGTCATTAACGAAGAGATATGTTATCAAAAAAAAAAAACAAAAAAAATAATGTACGTTAGATATATTAAGTGCATATGTATGTAGAGGAATGTAAAATAGTCGATGCTGGTGTAGTGCTGCACTTTTATTTTTGCGTAACAAATTTATGACCCAATAGCGCAATTACAGTTACAAAATAAATTTCAAGGAATATCTATATGCTTTACGTGTATGTATTTGTGCAACTAACTAAAACGGCTCTTATATCTAACCTAAATGGTTTTTATGCTTGAATATTGTGTGTAATTGTGTTTGTGCTCGCATTTTACGCATTTCAACATATTTTCAACTAATTTATGTTGAAAAATATTTGTTGAACGTGTTTGTTGAAACGTATATAAATTTCAATGTTGGAAAATCAAATTAAATGACATGTTTTTGTTTTTTCACTCTCTCTCTCTCTCTCTCTCTCTCTCTCTCTCTGTAAATGTTAATAATAATAAAGCAAAAAAAATAAATAAATAAATAAATAAAAAAACATGTATGTATATATGTGCAACTATTATCTCTATATATGTATGTTTTCATTTTTATTTATAAAAGTTTATGTTAACTTAATTTCATAGTGAAAATTGCAATTTTCTATAACGAATTTTTTTATTTATTTATTTAATTTTTTTCTTTTGTACCTAAGTTAATTAATAAAGTTTTAATGGCATGAAAAATGAGTTTATCTGTTATTCAGTTTTGTTAACAAACTTACATTTTTGGGTAGCTTACGAAATTCTTTCAAAAAGCTTTCAACACCTTCGGTTAGTACAGTGGGATCCAAATCGACCCACAAAGTTTTCGACCATACCTCACGACCTGACTTTTGACTTTTGTATAATTTGAAAATCTACGAAAAATGAAAGAAAGAAAAAAAAAAAAAACAATTTAAAATTAAAATGAAAAAAAAAAAAAAACAAAATCAAAGAAAATGCAGAGAAAAGAGGAAAAGTTGGTAATACACTCAATCATCTTAACATTGTTGAGGATATTCAATCATTGTGTTGTTATATACGTATTTATATAAGTTTCCTCGAGCCCTAAGGGGCACAATAAAAGTTCGCCTTCATTCTCTTATACTCTTAATAACTTTGTTGCTGAACAAATACAAATAATTTAATTGAAAAATTAAACTTTATTTCTTAAGATTTTTACTTTACTTGGCTGACCAAGAAAAAAAAAAAAGAAAAAAATATTTAAAAAAAAAAATAACTCTTAAGGCAAAAGTATAGCTAGTTCTATTACATATATAAAAATTTCAATGCATATTTATATATATATATATATATGTATGTGTGTGTGTGTGTATGTACGTACCAATTGCATGCCTTCGTAATCATCTTTAATGCGTGCGAATTCATTGTAATCTTGCATGGGCATATCAAAAAGTTTTTCAGCATTTGCTAAAAAATAAAATAATAATAATAAAAGAAAAAGAAAAATTGAAAAAAAAAAAAAAAATGGAAAGAAACAAAGAAGAAAAACCGTAAAATATTTTTTCCTTTTTAATGAAATGTAAATATTTTTGAAAGAAAAGTTTTCCGTTTGTTCTCAGGTTCAACCCAAAAACTAATTTGAAAAGCAAAGAACTTCTATACACAATTTACTTGATTACCGCATCTTATTACCTATATAATTCGTAATCAAGAAATCCATTCGTTTATTTCCGGTCTTAATTGTTCAGCTATGCTTTAAATTTGTTCACCTAAAGTCGCGTTTCTTTATTAACTTAATTTAGTATTATTTCACATGTCTTCTGACTTTTTTCTTCTCTTCTCTCTCCTTCTTTTTCGAAAGAGAGGTTTACATCACAACTCATTTGGACGAATATATGGTATGCATTTGCAATAGTTTTACTGGTCCCCCTGCTTCAGTGTATTGTACCCTCCGTCTGAGAATATAGTTCACCTTGTACTGTATTCTTGTCCGAAAATAACGTGAAATAGCAACCTATGCTATATACTTTATATTATGTCTACGAACTTTTTTTTTTTTTTCTACTATGAGCATTTAGTTAGGAAAATATCCTCTGAACATGGAACATAGCTATGATCAAAAAGAAGCGGGAAAAGGCAAAGAGGGAGGCATTGTCCGCAGCCCAGTGCGATAAATTGTATCGCTTTATGGTCAGCGCAGCTTTAATACACAATTGCAGAAATAGCGGATGTCATTATAATACATCCATAGTATGCAATGCATTCTCAGAAACAATCCTGTCTTTAATATTACTACTTGGACAATAGCCTACATCACTGGAGTAAGAAAGAAATATTTAGTGCATATGAACAAAATCTACGAACTCAAAATTAGGCAAAAGTGGTTAAGTCTACAAGTTTAGGTAGAAAAAGTAAGTGATACAATAGTACGGAAATCCAGGTTGGCGACCAATGTTGCTGGGTCTGCACACCCTAATCGCCGACAGCGTAACATCTGTTAGTAAGAGTTTTAGAACATGGAAATTATTATTGGATGTTGCATGATCTTTGAGGATCACAGTTTATCCACGAATTAACTACGAATTAGTGCTAGAATGCAACGAACTTGGCTTTAAAGAAATAAAATAATTTATGAAGACGATACGGAAAATAGATTGGGATCGAAATCAGAAGAAGTATCGCAATTTCTTTATAAACAGGATGTAAGATGTTGTGCAGCGCATGTGAAGCTATTGGAAAAGTATCGTTTATAACGCTATCGTTAACCAGCGCATATCAACACTGTCTAACAGCTGATAATTTCTAATCGTTTGCATCTTTAGAAACAGCTAGATCAACACTGTTGATGTTTGGAGCTATGACGAAGATATTTGGAAGAGACATTTGAAATGATAGTTTCTTATTAGATCGTTAGAAAAATAATGAACTTCGCTCACTTCTTCGTTCTTGGGCAGCTCAGGCGACAACGCTCAGAAAGCATTTCCAGGCTAATAATTTCAAGTCAGTACTTGGACTTTCACTTATTTCGATATCGTTGAAACTCTCTGATTGCTATTAAAATAGTTCTCATAGCAATTTTTCATCTGCGTCATGCAAAATGTTTAGGTCGTTGGAAAAGCAACACACACTATGTAGCTTATGTAACTTTTTAATGATATGTTCCAATAATAATTCATAGGTTCAATTGCATTTTTTCGTTAAAACATATATATATATATATATATGTATATAATATTTGTAACGCAAAAGTTCTTCATGATTCTTACGACTTTTATAGTTTCATTCAATTTATTTAAAAGACTTACCCAATTCTTGTCTTTTCAGCTCAAGAGCCATCAATTTCTGGCCGTAAGGATCCATTAACTTGAAGCCGCGATCTAAATCGTTACCCGCTGAGCCAGGACCGTTAGCTTCGTAATCCTTAAAGAATTCTTCCAACTATGCAGAAATCACAAACTCAAAGGTATTAATTGTAAATATACATGTATATATATATATATATATAAAAAAAAAACAAAATGGAAAAATTGCTCGAAATAAGCTTTAAAGTATGAAAAGCTTTTGACTAATTAACTGAAAATTTGATGAAAAATTAGGAAAAAAAAATTAGGAAAATTTTTAACCATTCATTGAAGCAGAACGTTGCCGTAAAGAAAGTTTTACATTAACTTTAAATAGCAAAACAATGGAGAAGAAAATCGAAAAATGAAAAGAAAAACTTTATGCTTTTTGAAAAGAAAAAAAAAGGGATACGCAAAACCAAACTAAGAGCATACAAAAAAGGCAAAGAAGACGAAGAGACGAAGATGTAGAAAAGAAAAATTCAAGCAAGGCAACTGTTGTGATTGTTGATCTTAATGCTTATAATAAACACTTTAAGTTAATTCGTTTGTGCCTTGAACCACTAGCGCAATACTAATACCATTATAAACAGCTGCTGCTTGGCAAACTAACTGCGTATATGCATGCGATTGCGATGATACACAGAGAGAGAGAGAGAGAGAGAGAGAGAGAGAGAGAGACAGAAGCGTATAGGCAGGCAAGTATATGTGGCGAAGCAGAGAGGCCGCCATGCAAGAATTTGCATTAAGTAAGTGCTCGAGCCAATGTGTACGAAACAGAACATAGTATCTTAACGCAACGGCAACGGCAACGGATAAGGATGTGGCGCTTACAACACGGAAAAGCCTTAATGCGTGAGCACCAAACCAGCAGTGCCGGTACTGCTGATGATAATAATGATTGTGTTGTTGAGTAAGTCGTCAAGAATTTGTAAATTTGTAAATTGTGATTGTTAGGTCCGCGCCACGACCATTCTCCCTAAACTTTCTAACAAGTCTTATTACAGCAACTATAAGGAATGGGGAGAAGTGGTTGCGGGAAGTGGAGAAAGACAGAGAGAGAGAGAGAGAGAGAGAGATAAAGAAAGAGAGAGAAAGAGAATAAGGGAAACCTTAAATGTGTGGAAGAACTTAAATCCAATTAAATTCCTATTGAATGGAAATGAAAACGGGAAGCAAAGCGGAGCGGAATAAAATTGCAAGCACAACAAAGTTTTCTTCTTTAATTCTCTTTGGCAGAAAAAAAAAAAAAAAAATCAAAAAAAAAAAGCAAAAAAAAAAAAAATGAAAAACCAGAACAGAAATCAGGCTTTAATAAAAAAAAAAAAAAACGCATATAAACATAACGTAATACAAAAAGTAGCGGGAACTTTGGTTTTTTTCATCTCATCCCTCCATTTCCTTTATTTCTTGCACAAGTTAAATATTGTTAAAGTCAGCAGACATAGAACAACAAATCCAGGGTATAAAAAAATGAGATGTGAAAAAAAAAAATAAACTTTTTTTTTTATTCCCTTTCACGCTAGTAAAACTTTTTTATTTCTTTCTATTTTACCATAACAGTAAAGTCATGAATACAATGCTTGATCTCCACATACATTGAAACATATGGTGCCGTTAAAGGAAAGTTTGTACTCACAACAACACAGGGTGTGTAATAGTTTTCCTAAATGCTTGCAAACACAGCATAGAAATACAATATATCGCGCGAAATGCGATAAATATTTCACTATTCTCGTTTAACGGAATCATCTCTGTTCGTCTGTCTGCTTCTTCAAATTTCCTACAAACGTAAAATTATATCGTAATTTTAATACATATTTGTTTTTTTTCTACCCCTTTGGCCAATTCCGATGCAAAAGTCAGCGAAATCAGTTTATGGATTCGCCCACATTTGCCGAAAACCGATCGTAAATATGGCGAAATTATTTTGCAAATTATTATCAAATTATACGAAATCCTTACGATATACACGATGCTTTTATACAATCGTCATATCGATCTAATGGATTTTTAAAAATCGTATACTGACACAGCTAATGGGTTTAGTATCCAAATACAGTTCAAGTTGACTACACGAACAACTTTTATTTTGTTTATTCTTTTTTGAATTTTGTATTAGTAAAAGTGGAACATTTACATAGCGAATAAAATGAGTTTAATGAGTGCATAAACTTCATGCACACTTCTCTCTACGCTTTAAACTTGTAAGCTTAATTAGCAATGAGGCTAAACTACTTTTGATTTGCGGTAACATTACATAACAGCTACTGTTGTTTAGCGATAATAACAATACATAGTAATACTTGATACGGAAAATGAGTAACGTTTCATTATACAATAACAATACAATATACTTACCTCCTTCCAAAACCCATTAATTTCGATTGAAGTCATATCGGCAAATTTCTGTTTAATTGGTTGCACCTTATCCATACGATAAAGCGATGAACGATACAAACGATGCCAACGTTTACCCAAATGATGAGCCATTAGCATATCATCGAAATTAAACTGTGTAAACGGAGGAGAAAACGGAAAATACATAGAAGAAAATACATAGATTAATAAGTGATTTCCATCTCACAATCTCACAATAATTATTATGCAATGACAGCAGAGGAGGAGAAGAAGGAGAAGAAGGAGGAGGAATAAGTGTAGCAGAGTTCTTAGATTCAGCTCTGGGTCAGCAATTATTACAGCAATTATTATATTCATTTTTAATTGCATAACTTTTCATTCTACACTGTTTGAAAGATTAAAGTTTATATTTTTGCCATATATATATATATATATATATATATATATATGTGCCATATATATATATATATGCCACACATATATATATATAGATATGATTATTACCATTTTTAAGGATATTTGAAAAATGTTTTAATTTTCATTCTCGAAATACAAAAATATGAGAAAAATGAAAAAAATGAAAAAAAAAGAACAGAAATGTATAGAAAAAGATTTCAAATTCATATACTAATCAAAATAAAACCCTAAAACCATAAAAGCACATCAACACTCATGCAGAACTGAATGTTCGCATAGCTTACAATACTTCTACATGTATGCATGTGTGTGTGTGTGTGTGTGTGGATACGTGAATATGCTCTTTTTACCATTTTATACACAATGTATTTCAAGTGCTTTTCATAAATAAAATTTCATATATTTAATAGATGCTCTTACTATTATTGCAGTTATTGTTGCTGATATTGTTGTTGTTGTTGTTGCTGTTGATGTTGTTGCGTGTTTAAAAATACCAGTTAATACCTCTTGTCCATCTAAAGGGTATTAGTAATGGCCTTACCAATAAACAAATATGCACAAATGTACACATATTCATGCATATACATGTACACTTGTATCCTCTTAAACATACACGCACACACACACACCCATATCCATATAAACTCTGAAGGACTTGTAACTTGTAACAGATTATAGAAACTTTTTCTACAGTGTACTTTTACTCCTTTTCTTGCTCTCGCTCGCTCTCTTTCTCTCTCTCTCTCTCTCTCTCTCTCTCTCTCTCTCTCTCTCTCTCTCTCCCTCTCTCTCTCCTTCTCACTCTCTTAATATCATATATATATATTTTTATTTTTTTTTTTGAATTTTTTTAATAAAAATTTATTAATAAATGTTTTATACAAGCATGTAGCTTATATTATATATGATGTAGCTTATATTATATAGGATGCATGCATAGGACATAGCATGTTTGAATGCGGTCGCAAAGTACAAAAATATTGAAATTATGAGACTTCTATAAGAAAAATAAAGTGTTAAAGAATAAACTTTAATACCTATTATCCAAAAAAAATATTTAAGTTTTCGAGAATTAGATTTCTCTCTGATCGATTTAGTTTAATGTAGTTCGTCAATACATTCCCTTCGTTACAATTACTTACTTCAGGTATTCGGCACGTGGAATTTTCTCGAAATTTCAGATATAGCTAATGTAAATACTGATGTTTAACATGAAGCAAGTTTCAGTTCTTTACAAGCTGTCTTTCAGTGGATTAAATTACGGCAAAATGCAGATGAAGCTACGTTCAAAAGCAACTCAGTTGAAGATCAACACAGTTAAAATATAATGTGTAATAAAAGAAGGGAGTTGGAATTCGAGATCAATCGGTTGACAGCCCTAGAGATCCAGACAAGTAGGAAAACGTGGCTAGGAGAAAAACTATTCCCGCTGTTTTTAAGCAGTGACTTTACTTTCGAAAAATTTAATTCTTAGCTAATTTTCCGCATGAGCAGCCAAGTAAGCAAGAATCGCAATTATCGCGCAAACCTCGGTGTGCAGGCGCATACTTGGTCGTTGCTGTAGTGAGTGCTCAGTCGGCACTAAATCGTGACAAATTTCTATCTTCTTTGCTTTCCTCACTTGCGATATTTCAACATTTTTTACAAATGCAATCCTGTAAGAGGTTATTAAATTCAAAAACGATGAACTTTAGGGATCGCATGAAAAGAAAAAAGCTTGGTAGGCCTAATATATTGGCATACTTGGAGAAGGGTGAAAAAAAGTAGAGGAAAAGCAAAGAACGCGTGCAAAGTGAATCCGAGTCTTTCCAGGACTCTAGGAGTCTTATCATTTCCTTTCAACTCTGATATCGCATTAAAGGATACTCTACTTTTGTTATTCACGTGACCCAATCAGTTCGTTCATATTTCATATGTAAGACTGTGAATTGAAATTACATTGACGTTAGAGATAAGCCGGTGTTAAGTAAGTCATGCTAAGTTTAACAAATACGTAACCTCTGATAAGGGTAAAACTGATTTTCTCTAATACCTACAGAAAGCGAAAAGTATCTTTTAGTGTTTATATGTAGATATCTGTGGTCTACCGTTTGCATATCTGTAGCTATGCGAGTGAGTAAGTGGATAATGCAGTGACTTTAGTCAAAGGATTTAAAAAGGATTTTTTTTTTTTTTTTATAAAAATCCTCATTTGAATTTACAAAAAATACTAATATGAGAGAAAAAAAGCACATGAACGCACACGCAACGCAATTGTGTGCATATATACTCACATGGATGTAGAGATGCATGTATGTTTGCATGTATGTAAAGGGGGATATGTACATATTTATACATTTATACTTAACACACAACCATTAACTGGCTGACCAGCCAATGCTTTATATATATATATATATATATATATATATATATTATGTTAATGCATATTTAGTTATTGGCTGCAAACACAAATAAGTATAAACACACGCACATGCACAGCAAAATAAAATAAATAAAAAAAAGAAGCAGAGAATCGTCCGTTTAAAATTTGCACCATACACTGCGCATACAGAAATGCAATGTAGATGTCAAGGAGATGAACGGGAGGATTTACAGTCATTTAAATTCACCCACAAAATAATGTTGAACGCAACTTAACTAAAATATGCAAATGTACAACAAGAACATACATGCTTTTATACCGACATTATATGCGTACATATGTGCATATATATATATATATATATATATATATATATACATCCTTTTATATATATACATATTATAATATATACGTATAGACATCTACATAAATACAGAGAAAAGCCAAGTGTGGACAGCACTGAAATGAGTCTCTATACATTCACACGCACATATACACATATAAAATTGTTTGTATTTCATATACGGCTGAATGTATTAAAAGCATACATGTACGAGTATATATGGATGTTTGTGGATTAGAATGTATCCCTTATTGTGGCTACAAATGTAATGCATGCATTTTCATTTAGAGCTTTGTTAGTTTAAATAAAATGCTTTATAGCATTTAGTACTACTAGTAGTAGCTACCAGTAGTACGTAGTAGTACGTACTGACACAGTTGCAGCAGTTAGTGCTTTGACTTCGTCTACTGCGTCCCTGTGTGTACTATAACCTACACCCTAGACTTTTTACGAAACATGAGAATGACTGACTGCGGGACACTGAGCGTAGTCGACTTTTCGTCTGTAAGAGAAAGAGAGCTTAACATCTTTGCTTTGGCAGCATGTAGCAAAAGTAGAAGGATGACGAAGCCACGTAATGTGTTGTCTGTTAAGACTTTATGGTGATATCAAAAAGAAAAGTAAAAAGGAAAGAAAAGAAAAGAAAAGAGAAAAGTAAAAAAAAAAAAAAAAAAAAAAAAAAAACGGGCCAGAAACTGGGAATAAAGTAAATCGTATAATTTTTAGTTTGCTTTGCAGATGAAAGAGATTTTATTCTTTCTTGTTTTTTTTTTTTTTTTTTTGTGTTTTCTTATATACATTTATTTCTATGCTGAGCATTTTTTAGTCATTTTATGCTTGAAAGCAAAAGCATAGTATACACAAAAAAAAAAAAAAAAAAAGCTTATTAAACTAAGTTAATATTCATAATAAAGTTTAGTGTAATATTTTATGAATCAAATGATTTATTCTGTTCAAGAGGATGATGAGTGATAAGGCGCCAGTTAGTTTTAGTTCTCGTGAAAACGATGCGATACGTAGACGCAACTAATGTATGCTTAAATGCTAACAATAGAAATGAAAGAATAAAATAACTGTATAATCAGGTAACACAAAGGTAAGAGTAGAAACAATACTATGCTTAATGTGTCGACAGTTTGAAAAAGTTCTTCAAACTATAATAACCGCGATCAATAATTATGCATCTTTTTCAGTCAATGAATAAAAGATTCATCCAATAAGTTTTCCAGTAGACGATCGCAGAAAAAATTTGAAAAAAAAAAAAAATTATCACTTCGGGGACAATATAGCAACACCTTTTATGCGAGAATATCCATAAAAAGTCTTTCGATGAATAGTTTAATTAGTTTGTTACAACAAAAACTACTCTTTAGTGGAAAAGAATTATTTGATATTCATTAAAAAGTTAATGGATAATAAGAACTTTATTTTTAAAAATCGCTTATCCTCTGTTGTATGTAGAAATGTAAAAAAGTAAAAAAATATACCGACAGAAGAAATTTAACTAAAATTTTTCAACTAACTTACAAATCAGTTTAAAACTCTAAAGTGCAAACTTTGCAGGCTGCAGTTTGCATCGCAGACAATGATTAAAATATAATTAAAAAATAGTCGACTGGCTATGTGCACACTGGAACTGGAATTGATAAGAGGCATAAAAAAAATTGACGAGCAATGATTACAATAAACAGACGGACAAAAAGTGAATATATCTAAACTTCTCATTTTCACACTTCGTGTTTAAGGGTTCATCTTCGATTTAAAAAATTTACCATACTCCCTATCAAGGTACCCATAAATAAAACAAGTAAAACCGTGCACCATTACATCACTGCACATAAGGAAAAGGGCTGAGAAAAAATTTGTAAATGGATGGAAACATGTCTTTGTACCGAATGTCTTCATAATATCTGAAAAATTGCTCCCTGTCGGTTGAACATAAGAAAACAAGAAGGACGGACGGACTGACAAGTTCGAGTGTATTCAGAAACTGATTCCAAATCGATGTGGGGATGGATGTATCCTAAGTCGTTGTGCGTTCACTTAACACACCTTCAAGCGGTATATGGTATGAGAAAATTCAATTGCAATTCGATTGTATGAAAAAATATCCTAAAGGTTTTTATAAAAGATTGATTGATTGATTGATTGATTGATTGTCGGTAAGTTTGCATTACACCGCTTATACTTAAAACACTTGATTTTTCGTGCCATTATCAAATCATGATTTTAAGTTTGTTATATCACTTAGGCGAACATAAACTTACTCACTAACTTACTTACAAGTATTCTATGCTCACTGAGTATTGTATAAGCCTCTTGCATTTCATGGATTTTGACTTCTTTTGTTAGAGTTGTCGTCTGTATTGTATCAATAGTTTGCATAACCAATTTGAAGTCGCTTAGTTCCTTTGTAGCTCTGTTCAAATTTGTGCTGAGTTCCTGAACGAAAAAAAAAAAAAGAAGAAGACAAAGAAAAGAAATAAAGCCAAGATTTACAATACTTTTGCGTACTTTACTATAATTGATGAGTCAAAAATTTTAGGTATGTAAATTGTGTATCTAAGCCAAGTTAAGTTAGTTGCAAATATATAGTTAAGGTAAGAAGGTAAAATGAAAAGAAAAAAAAAAAAATAAATAAAAATAAAATAAGAAGAAGACAGAAGAAGAAAAGTCAAATTTGATTGTTAACTGCACAGTAGTTGCTCTCTTGTATTGAAAAAAGAAATCAAAGTTTAACAAGTTTGCATTTGTGCTAAACTTGTTTGAAGAGGAAGAAAGGAGTGGGTGGGTTGTGATCATGAATACTGAAATACTTTCAAATTATATAGACGTATATGCCTACCATCGCTCTATACGAGTTACACACAATAATAGCAATTGTTGATGGGGAAAAAGGAAAAAATTGAAAAGTTAAATAATTTTCAAATATTTCCTAAATCGAAATCATTTTCCGTTTTAGAAGCAACAAATTAAAATGTTGTTTTTGTTGTTGTTGTTGTTATTTTTTTTTTTAATAGAAACTTACTTTAATTTCTAAACGCATTTTATCAATATTTTTAACATTCTTCGCAGCCAATTTTTCGCCCAATGTTGTGCACCACTCTTGCGCATGCTGACAAATCGAATCTAATAGTGGCTTCAAATTTAGGCGTATACATTGTATATTGAAAGCTGTAGGCAACTGCTGCAACTCCTCAATGATATTTGCATAAAATGCAAATTTCTCGTCGAGTTGTACAAGTGGCACACCACGATCCACAAATTTATCACAAATTGTTTCCTTATCGAATGCCCACAGATTGTAATATTTACGAAATCTGCAAAAGTAACAACAATAACGATAACGAAACGTTTAGCTTATAAAGAATAATATAAAAAAAAAAAAAAAAAACAAACAACGTGTAAAAAGATTTTTTTTCAAGAATTTTAAATGCCACAAAACAACGACCTCAACAACTTATCTATATATATATATATATATATATATACAGCAGAAAATTACAATACATTATATTGAGTCGAATTCTTTAATACCTTCCTGCCTATAATTTTGGAAAACGTGTACACTTACGATAGGGTTATAAAGTTGAGCTGAGTTTAATTCATTGTCGAAAATCATATTCTAGCTGTTGGTTAGTTGTTAGGCGTAAGACTGAGCTCAATTACACCATTGCATAAGCAAAGTCAACCAAGTCTAACCAAGTCTAACCAAGTGAGAACTCATTAAACACATTTTTTTAAAATACTTTCGGATAAGCTGTCGCCTCCTAAGGAAAGAAAGCTGGAAATAGATCGGGCAATGAAGCAATTTCGGGCAATCATTAGACCTAGAAATCAAAACAGTGAACTGATTAACATTTACTCAAGAGTCACTCTGAAATCATAAGGTGTTACCACACACAAAACACATCAAGCACTGTCGAAACGCATAAGGAATTAATCGAAGCTTAAATCATAACCGTTGCTAAAAACAATCAAGCAGAGCTCAATTTTAATCACACAAGTCACTATGAAAGAAGAAAAGAAGATGTACGTTAGGCGAAGACAAAGCCGAATCAAGCTTGCATTTAGAGTACAATAAAAGACAGATAAAGATGTTACCTACTTTTCATAAAAATTGTTACTTGCGTTAATGTAAAATAAATGTAAACTACATTTCTCTCTTTACATGGATCTAAAAAATGTACATTTGTATAAAGACATAGGAGCAAGTGCTAAGCTTAGAACAGATAAGAGAACAGATGAGATCTCACAGTGGAAAGGTTAACTGATAGGCGAGTAGACGCACATACAATGCAAGACCTAATAAAACCTGTCAAGGTCGGCAAGACACAATTGTAAAGATGTAAAAACGAAAACATTGATGGACAGACAGACAATTGAAAGTATGAATAAAATGGATAAATAGCAATTGAACAGAGATAGCGTAAGAACGAAGAGACCATATGTCAGTTTTGACAGGAGCGTAATTACCTAAAACCTTCTTCTCCGTTCTTCTTCGTCTCCGAGTCGATGTCGACGTTTAGTAAAAATTTACCTTACATTGAAATCGTCTGAAAAATATAAGACTTTTTACTCAAAACGACTTACTTCGACTGGCTTTCCAAGTTGAATGATTCTTTATTAAAGAAGAGCGAGAGTCTAAAACGCTCTCAAGTATCTTTCATAAACTTTTCCTAATTAAGGTAATATCTTTAACTAAACTCTTTAAAAAAAAAAAAAAACTGTCTTCCGACATTTCAGTCAGCGGAATACCGTGTCCAATAAGAACACCTGTGTGTCACAAATGCCATGATGCAATCAGCATTCCGCCAGAGATCGGTATGAAAAAAATATTATGCTAAATTGTAGATTCTATGCGTTTTATCGAGTTCTGCAAGTCATGTTGCAGTTTGTCCACACATGAATTACTTTTTAGATGCTAGTAACACAATAATTATCGTCTTCATCATGATCATGATTTGTGCATCTCTATGACTTTTGTGTTTTTTGTATTTCTCCTCTCTCGCTCTGTCAAGGCGTTTGCTTGATATTGTGACTGTAAGAGATGCCGTCATATGTTTGCATATTTGATAAGAAGGAGGAGGAATAGTAAACATAGCTACTGTGCTGGCATTTAGACGTTCAGCAGCTAACAACAAGTGAAAATGGTATATTTAGTTTATCATTTTGTTTCTCATTTTTTAATATATTTCTTGTACGTCAAATGTATTGGAAATTTTGCGATAAATTTGCTAAGGAGAAGAGAATAAAAGTAGTCTTTATCACAATCTATATATTAATCGCATCCTCAAATTAGGCGTAATACAGTGACTTAGAGAACATTCATAACATCTATATAATTGCTTTGACTCTAAATATTCACTATTCAAGATTTGTTCAAAACTCCGAATATCATATTTATCACTTGAGTAGGATGTGCATAAAATGCACTACATCTTCATACGCATTTACCTAATATACTTAAATAGTGCTTGAGTGCGGGTAGAGCGAGCAGTGTGTTTGAGAATCATAGTGCAAATCATGCATTTTATTGAAAACATGAGTCAGAGATTTCATTATTTTGACTTGCAAATCCACACCGATTCGGTCTCTGCTCAAGCAAGGAAATATTAATTCAAAGGAACCAGAACGAATAAGAATAAAAGGGAGAATGAATAAAAAATTCTTTTAAATTCTACTAAAATTTCTCACATATATATATTTACTATCAATGGCACATAAAGTCAGCACCTTTGAAAATTTGCCAAAAAACAAAAAGGAAGAAAGAAAGAAAGAAAGAAGAATGCAAAAATGAGAAAAAAAAAAATTTTTATTCATGAAAGATACTCAGATGAAAAAAAGCGCGAACAACAACTTCATCTCTAGGAACCTCGCCATTACAGTTTATTTCAAGTTTTTACTCCATGAGAGAAACATTTAGTAATTAAATGATTACTCTATGGATTTTAGAGGAAAAAAAAAATCGTATGTCATGAATTTTTCCGTTCCGCAGTAGCCAAAATTTACTTGTTAATTAAGGCTATAAAGTTGTTTAGAGCCCAGATGTTTTCTCGTTAATGTTAAAATGTACATGTGTGAATACTTATGCGAAATATTCATAGGAGGTGCTGTTGTGGCCCATACAACCTTAACGAAGTGTCGAAAAGAACAACAGTTGAGAACCGAATGAACTTTGAATGTGAGGAATTGCAAAAAAACCTGGAAGTTAGAACCTAAAGTTGATGTCTAGCTAAACTTTCTTGCATCAACCCGACAAAGACAATTTTTCTGCTTCCGATTTCATTATTGCATGTTCGGGCAGCAAGTAAAACAGAAACAGAAAAGAAACAATAGGATCACGCAACAGGGACTATATGAAAGAAAAGAATGTAAAATGGATAGGGCGAGAGAGAGAAACATTGCTGATTGTGGTTTCTTCATATATACTGAATACAATGAATTTCTTAGACTTAATGTAAGTGCAGTGTGAATTGCGTGCTATGCTATGATTGGCCGCTTGCCGCGTTTACGTGTAAAAATATAAAAGTACCATTTGTGTGTATTTGTTGATGTTATAAAATTATCACGCGACGGTAAAGATTTTTTTCTTAGTGGAGTAAGTTGTTAGTGTATGCAGACGTTCAGGCAAAACGCAACAATTTTTTTCCTACACTTAGTGGAGCTTCAATCTGATCATGAAATTTCCTATTCAATAATCTTGACGTAAAGATTGGAGGGCTGCGCATAGCAATAGTTAAACGAACCTATTTCCACTTACGATAACATTATGGCATTTTGTAATAGACTTATTGGCGATCTAAGAGGGTGTGAAGATAATTTCGAATTTAAATATTAAGTCGAAATTCGGTCTAACACAAAGTTCAGTTGGTGTGCAGTCCAATCATAACCCATCCGTAGCCGTGGATAAGCGATGCATAGGTCATACATAGGCGATGCACAGATGATGCATAGGTGATGCACAGCCCAGCCGTAGGCGATGCGTAGGCCACGCGTAGGCGATGCATAAGCTGTGCATAGGCTGTGCATATTTTCATAAAAATTCATGAAGTACCCACAAAAATATTTTACGTTTTTTAACATAGACGGAGTAGGGTTCCGAATCCAACTGTATCTTATTTCTGAGTATTTGACAGAGCACTGTTAAGATGTTTACAGGGGTTTGTTAAGGGCAATGGTAGATGTCTTTGCTAATTCGAATTTATCCTTGCACTCTTGCGAGTTTAATTGGCTTAGTTGTACTGACGATTCTAACTTATCGACAACATTTTTTCTTGTCGGATCGATAAAACTTTTTTTTGTTATGATTTTCAATCGTCCTACTTTATACATACATATATCGATATAGTTAATAAAAAACTTAGATATTTAAAGAGTGCAAAGCATAGCTTACTTCATAACACAAGATTTTGCATCGTCAACCACACGTGTAGCCATCTCCTGTATTTTAACCACTAAATCGGTGATGCCACTATACTGTAGTTGAAAAAATATTTATAAAAATATTTTCGTGAAAAATTTTAATAATATTTACCTTAACTATATCTTCGTAAAAGGTGAAATTATATTTAAATCCTTCTACATTTTCAATTGGAGCACATAGCAAACAAGTGCCGTCCATCCAACGTGTGAAAAGTTTTAACCTACAATCTAAGCAAGTGACAGTGGAAGTCTTATCAATTTTTCAAGTACTTTTGTTTACCGTTCTAAAAAATCTTTAACTGCATGAACAATCATATTCTTTATCTGCGATGAGGAAGGCTCAAGCATAATCTCAGAAAGAACCAGTACAGCGTTCACTTCAAACATGGGCTTCTTGCTAAGCAGTCGTTCCAAAAAGCATTCTAAATTTTTAAAACTCCAACTAAATGGAAAAAGCAAAAATGTGTATTTGTAAAATAGTGAAGCTTAAGAGTTAAGACTTAACTTACTCTAAGAGGCTTCTAAAGGTTTGTTCTTCCCAAACATTATAATATTCCCGCATTTTATCTGATCGGCCGGTAAAAGAACCTAAAACTAAACTCTCAAGTTTAATTAACACCGGACCCAATGAATCGTATAATCTTTTCATAGCCGAACATTTTTCTGTGCGGAATTGTTCTAAACGTTCCATATAGATGTGACAATGATAGACACCGACACCGCACTCTGCTTTCTCCTCGGAAATGCTCTCCTCGGATTCTTTAATGCGTACAATTTGCACCTTATGATGGTGATGATGATGAGGTTGATCGCTTTCAGTACTCTCGGTACTACTGCTGGACTCGGCTGCTGCGCTAAATTGTATCATCGGTTCTCTTTTCTTACCATTTGTGTCATCCAAAGAAAAAAGATTGAATTTTTTCATTTGCTCAATACGATTACGTATATCAATCCGAATGTAATTGATTTGAGATACTATTGATTGTAATTTGCGTAATAACGAACTAACTGATTCAGTGTATTTTTTAATATTAAACGATTGCCATGTGTAACGACTGACACCAACTTGTATCGCCACTTCAGTCTCGTACAGGTGATCACGTAAAAAGTTTACCTACATATGGTAAATTTTTTATATATATTTGCAGGATTATGTAACGAATAATGCGTACCTCAGATAGAGATAATTCGCCCAATATGTGATTATAATTGTCAATTACATCGGATACAGCTTCGAAATCGTTAAATAACATTTCCTTTTTCATAATTGCTGTACGCAGAACGGTAGGCAATTGAAAGCCAAAATGCTCAAATTGCTGACCTTCGAATAGAATTTCGAACACATCTAATACCACAATAAACAAAACAAGAATGAAAAGTAAGAGTATGGATGTGAGAGTTATCCTACGATTTACCTCTAGTTAAGTTAACAGTAAATTGCATTTCATATTCGACCAAGGCATGATCACCGACCAGTGAACGCCACGTGGGTAAGCCGTCTTGACTAGAAACACGCAATAATACTGAAAAAAGAAAGCGAATAAAATCAATACATCTTTTTAACTGTCGAACGCATTGTCAACGGACTATATCGTAACGGTTCGAAGAGATGGAACTGCCTTTCGTATGGCAAAGTAGGAATTATTATCAATATTCGCTCTAAATACAACTTTCAAAACAAATTCTTTGACTTTTTGCTACTACCAAGCAGTCACCAGAGAATTGAGGTCGAATGTCCGCTCAAAAACGTTTAAATATGTTTCGGTTGATGATTGCCTAAGATTGATTAAGAATCAGAATTAAAAATAAAGAATCACTTCAATCATCCTAATAACAAATCGGTGGACTCTAACATAACGAATATGAAATAACTTTTTTCACTTCGAAAGATGTTAATATTAGGTGTGCAAATAAATTCTCTTCATATTTTGATAAAATTCAAATTCAATTAGAAAACACTTGGTACAAAGCTTAATAATCGCAATACGCCCCATCATTATCTCTGGTCTTTTGCTTTTTATTGGTTAGCTTGCGAATGCCTTTAGTACTTTCGAGCCGAAATGGACACATTACGCATATCCTCAACTTTTTCGATGTTTTGATCTCCTACATATGCAATAGACTCAACTAGCCGTAATCAGAAAGAGACAGATCTGTGAAACGTGCCGCAATTGAAAGAAATTTCCAGCTCTAGTTAAGGATGGCTACCTGCTTGCTTTTGCTGCGCACGAATGGACATAAGCATAGTCTACAATTTTTTACACGAAATCTCACAAATCACTTTGCAATTGTTTCATAGCTTACTGTATTTTCACTCCGAGACAACCCAATCGCATTATTCGTAGCTTCCGGTGCGTTTGTTTCAATATAAAATAGAATTAAAATGCAGTCAACAAAATGGCATTGATCTCTTTGCGCTTTGGTTCATACTAAAAAGCAACTCGTAGGTAACTGAAACATAGACCGCATGAACTTCAATGTCATGTTGTCTATCTAACAAATAAACAAAGAGAACTTATTTGTGCACCTAATAAAAATGGAAGCGTATTAGAAACTGATTTTAAGTTTATTCTCTGCATTCTTACGAATGTGTAACGAGAGAATCGATTTATAGCAGAATTTTCTTGATCATTATGGGTTCATTGTCGTCAACCAAAATCGTATCCACCTAGCTTGAGTTTCTTCTCATAATTTTGGCCATGCTATTTCTTTATGAAAAAGACATTTAAGAAGAGTTTTTTTTTATAGTTATACTTTAAAAGCCGACCAAGTTAAAAAAAGTTTTCATTTCCATATTTTATATGTTCACTGTACACTTTGCAAAATATTTTTTACTTTTATTATTATTACAAAGATTAGTTTTAAATAATCATCGGTTTATATAGCTGTTAAGATTTCCTTTTTTGTTTTTTTTTTTTTTTTTTGTTATTGCTTCTATGCTTATTTTCAGTCTCTTACTTGAGCAACAATAAAAGCGGAAAAATTCTTCATTTTTTTTTTTTTTTTTTGCATATCTAGGGCAAATTATTTTCTCATATTTTTATCTATATTCGGTTTTTTAAGTTATTTACATTTAAAGTTTTTCCGCTAAATGATGAATAAATACAGAGTAATGGTGGCTAGTATTGGCTTTAACATGCTTCAATAAAACCAATAAATTCCATTAAGCATTTCCTCAATCATAGCAAAAACTTTACGTTATGCAAACTTTCACATAAATATACGGATAACCATGCGTAAAGAAAAATCCCTCACTAAAAAAAATAAGAAAATAAATACCGTTTGCATGAATAAAAAATTGGAAGGCATGCCGCCGGCATTAATTCCTCAAAAAAAAAAAAAAAAAAAAAAAAAAAAAATACATATATATATATATGTATATATATGTATGAAATCGAAAATAAAATTTTTAAATCTCAAACTATAAAGGCCGGTTAAAGCGTGGAGCGTAAAGATAAAAATATTTAAAGGAAATATAAAGTTGGAAGTTGGTTTCTTTTGTTGTTATTGTTTATGTTTTCAAATTTACTTACAATCACATTGTTTTAAGCAAAATTTATCCTTCTCGCTTATCTTAGTTTTCGCATTTTTCATTACGCGCACAAAATGTTGGGCCCTTTGAATATGAACATCGGTTTTCGTTTTACGCGACACAAACCATTGTATCAATGTAGCAATAACCGTGAACTTTGTAATTTTCCGTATGAAACCCGAAGGTCCGCCAGTTTGGGCGGAATTACGTGCCTCGTCCACCATTTTCTTTCCACGCAATTTCAATGAATCACAGGCATCAGAGATGTAGGCAACTATACGAAACGTACGTAAAATGGGAATAAAATAATTAATAAAATATCTTATAGTAAGTCATTGCAATGACAAATTAAAGCGTTAGTTTACTTACGGGTATCCTTATTCGATATTTCAACTCGTAGAATATTTTTGCGCATTATCGCGTTCACTAAGTACGTAGCACGTGTTGAATAGCGTTCGAAGAGACTATTTTCAAAGGTATACATTTTTTTCACCAATTCAAAGTATGCCTTAAATGCGGTACGTTTTAAATAACTATTTTTGATCGACGGTTCGTTTTCCATCTGTTAAGTTTTAGATAAAGAAAGGAGGAAAAATGAAAAGAATATTTTTTTTTTAATTTAGTAAACTTTTAAGCCATAAGCGATCTGCCGACGGATAGCCAGACATGAGTTTTGTAGATCCCATAGACTTTTTGCAAGATCGCAAAGGATTCGATTGTTTGCTCGGAATATGTAATAGTGGACCACTTTCGCTTTGTTGAGTGGAGCTGAATGATCGATAAAGGAAGGTCTTGAACCGATCACAAAAAAAAACGTCTCTTGATCGAGCAATACAGCAAAAAACCTTTTGTCAGTTGGCGAGATTTTGTTGACATTTCGCTGTGCGAACACCTTTTGGGTCGGACTCTGAACACGTTCATATATAAATTACAGAAATGTTAAATCTCTGCTTGGTTATAAAACCCATCTTTCTCTTGACATATTTGGCGTAAAGGTAGATGACCTTTGCTCGCAATTGTTTCGAGGAGAAAAGACCAGGTCTCAGAAAACAAAATATAGCCGCAAGATAGATATATCGAGCAGTATTAATTCTTTAAGTACTCTTTCGGACAAGACAACAACAGGGGAATACCTTAAGCTATTTTTATAAGTCAAGAAGCGCCACAAGGTATTCGAGGAGTTTAAGGCTATCAAAACCAAGTAGGTTTGTTTCCCTCGTTCGCTCATTGATTACAAAAAAATTGAGGGAGAATTTTGAGCTGCCACGGACATGGAAAGCTTGAAGTCTTTGTGTTTGTTATTGCGAATGCAGATAATTTTGATAGAAAAGAACTTTTGATAGAAAGACAATTTTACTGTGAAGGAATTGATCAAATGTTGTTCTCAATTATGGATCGCAAATGGACAAACTGAGAGGCTGTTCATAGAACGAATTATTTTTGGGTACCATCCGATAACGGGAAGTATTGTTCAGCAAGACCTTAAGGCAGGACAAGTTACCGATTGAAAAAAGTGCTAATTAGAAGGAGGCTTCTCAGTTCAATCTCAGTTCAGTGTTTTTCATTATGAATTTTGTAGGATCGTCCTGCTTCAGAGTCATTCCCAAAGTTATTAACAAAAAAAAAAAAGAAATTAAATAACATTTTTACAAGATCGTCTTGTGTTTGACACATTGTTCTTTATTGGGCGAAGCTTTCAAATCACCGCCTTGGCGTTGCTTATTTTTAATATCGAACAGCGAGGTGCAAGGCAGTTGATGCCTTGGTCGACATTGGAACAGGAACAGTTAGGCCTGTCTAGAATGCTGTTTTGCTGATATGACATTGGATACTTTAAAGATAAAGCAAGTCGTTGACTTTACTTTGACGAGAGAGCAAAATGAAAGCTATTACTCACTTATAGTATTATTTACGTTTTAAAAGTAAGAAAAAAGTGAATTTTTAATTAAATAAATTTTTCTTTAAAATACTTTCAATTAGTTATGAACATAACAAAAAAACTGCAAAAAATGCGAGAAAAAAAATTATTTGAGAGCAAAAACCAGGCCAGGCCGTACTGTGTTTTAACACGTAAATGTTTTTGTTGCTTTAATAAATGCATAAATGCATATTACCACCGCGCTGCAGTATTAGCAGTCAACCGTTTCAAGTTATGTGATGATGGTACAAAATCGAAAATTCATAAAATAATAACATTTCGGAAAGCCAGGATAACAAAAACGAAAAAAAAAAAAAACAGAAAAAAGGAAAATAAGCAAAAATTTTTAAAACAATGGATGCGTTACCAACCCGTTTAAATGCCAATACAGACATTTTTAATTTGTTGCTTAACAGTCGGGTCCATTGTATGGCACCAATATATGCTGGTTGATGTTTACCTATCGGTGGATTTTTTTTATTGTTCTAAAGCGAGAGTAAATAATGAAAAAAAAAAAAAAATTGAATTGAAAATTAAATTAAATATAAAATATTTGAATTTTTTTTTTTTTTTTTTTTTATGCTTCAATTCGCTCACAATGTATTCATATTCCACATTATTGATTTCGCTGACAAAATATCTCAATAAATTGTCATGCTTAGTTGACATGAATTCTTTTAATGCTTCACGGGTGTCCATACGATTAATATCGCGTAATAGCTCTAAGCCCAATTCCGATGATCGCAGCATCGTAATGCTTCTTTCAATTACACTTTTAGCTTCGCTCTCCAAGCTATCCAAACGTCGATTAAATGTATCTAATGTATACTCCCAATTCTCCCAATTGCTTGGAAGGAATACATCATAATCAATACTTGTTAGCATATCGTCTAAAAGTCGATAAACTTTACGCATAAGATCGTCAACCATAGCTGGCGATGTAATAATAGATTTCAAGCGTGTACCAAACAAATTTTCATACTGTATAAATACGCTGCCGATAGTTGCAATGTCACGACTTATACGCGAAATATGATCGACTTCATTAAATAAAGCGTTACGATCGAATTCCCAACGTGAGCCGACACCAGAGTCTTCAATATGCTTACGACTCATTAGATAAGCGGTTTTCCAGCAACGTAATAAATTTTCGGAACTTTTCGCCGTATCATATGTAAATTTTGCCGAATAACTGGAAAAAAGAAAATCTCTCATAAGTAATTATACGCTTAATAAGCGCTTTTTTTTTTTTTTTTTTTTATCTTTTATATACCGAAATATTTTCTCAAAGGCAATGATTTTTTTAGTCTTTTCGGTAAAAACATTAGATATCTGACATAGTAGTATTTGCATTTTGTCATCATGACAATAATAACTTGACATGGTCCAGATATGGCGTAAGCCTACCATTACGTTAGGAATTAATAAAGTTGACATCTTAAAACTGTCATTGGTGCGAATTTTCTATATACACAGTATTTGAAATGAAAAGAACAAATAAGTTGTCAATGGTTAGTTAATGGGATAATTATTAATTACCTCGAGATAATCAGTTATGGTTGCGACATAATCTGCATTCTCTTTGGCTAAATGATATCGAGCTTCAGCCTTTTCAATAACTTCATTCCAGTGCATAAGAGATTTCGATTTTTTCTGTTTTAGATAACCTAAAGGAAGTAAAGGCCACGTTTAGCATAGGCGTACGTACTTTTTATCTGTGCTGTTATAACTTTGCAGAATATTGGTTACATGATACTGTGAGAGTCCACTCACTCTAGTTGTCGATTTTGTCGTACACATAAAGTAGCGTCTATATTTGAAAAAAGTATTTTGTAGGGTTTTTGTACAACTGTGCGTATCGAAACTCCTAAACACATTTGCCTCCTTCTTCATGTATAGGTATGGGTTTGTTGTAATTGTGAGCGAATATTTAATTAAATTTTCGTTCATTTTTCAACTCGGGAATGATTTATAATTTTAAGGCCATAGATGATAAAAACAGTGTTTTGATAAGCGTAGCCGGGCCCATATAACTACACTACAAAGTTTTCCGTTACTTCAACTTATTTCTTTTATATGTAAATAATTGTATATGGCTAGGTACTAAGCGGATGTACCCTACGCAATCATGTTGGTAATCAGCTATAACTGTAGGCAGAGGGAGGTTGAAAGAGGCAGCAGTATTCGTGTATGCTAAACTTGTACGTATAAGTAGACTTGAAAGTGGAAATATCAACAGCGTTTGTTAGTGTATATTTTACTGCCGTTACGTCTCTTGATGAAAGAGTTTGAGTGACACAAAGTGCTATCATCAAAGCATGTCCTTTGTCACATGTAGGCGGGGGGAGGAAGAACAAAGCCTTGTGGTACTTCTTACAGTTACCAGAATGCAAAAAGTTCTAGTCCGAGTTACAGTTTGGAAGTCGTAATCGTTACATCAAGAGTTGGACATGCATGAGCTTTGACTCTATTCAATTTCCAGTGTATACTTCCATGTGTTATTGAATTGTCTAGTTCTTTGGTACCTTACGTTTGCATAGCTGCATTAACTACTCCTACCACTTGATGTATGCTACAGATTATTGATATTTCCAATGACTACTTATTGGTATTTTCGTGGTTGTTATTTTCTGCAGTGTCACTCTATATAATGCTACAATCTGAGCGTGTCTACGACGAGTATAAGAAAATATTGCAGCTCGTCTGATCTAAAATTATGTTTATATTCTTGTCAAAACGGGTTCATACCCTTCTACTGCTTGTATTGTTACGTAAAGCTATCTAAAAGAAATTTTGTGGCAGCTACTCATTAAATTAAGGACTGACAGACTCACCTACTAGAGTTGTTACAAATTCTGATTTCAATTGTTCCAATATCGTATTTAATTCCAATTCTCGGTAATGCCATAAACGATACTCTGCCATAGGAGTAAACTCATCTAAAGGCTATGTTAAAGAATTTCTCATATTTTATTTTGGTAAATGTCCATTAATAGGTTTTCGTTTAGTTAGTTACCCTCTCTTGAAGCAATTTTAAACGACCCTCAATGTATAGAACCCATCCACGAAGGACATCTTCAAGCTGCGCTAGCTTATAGGTGGGAATCATGTGCGGTCTTTTCGTATCGATTGGTATGCGGACTTTTGATTCTTCATATTCTACATCTTCTTGTCCTTCTGCGACATAAGATGTGGGTAAATTGAAAGCCCATACCATATGTTCCATAGTCCATTGCACTTCCGATTCGAAATCGCATAAATTCTTATTCAATCCCTCCTGTAAAGGCGGTAACTTTTCGTTAACTTTTTCGCTATCGCGACGTTGTTGTTGAATTTTTTCATGTGTCTCTCGCAATAATTTGTCCCAACGCTCCGCAATAGTAAGACGTACTTCCAGTTTTTCATCTTTAGGATAAAAGAATGGAAACAAATTTTTGTTTTAACATTTCTTCACCTTTAGCTATGGCGCATATCTATAAATTTCATTTATCCTGGAAAAAATTGTTTAATTCATTATACCTTCCTCGTCCGATGACAACCTTTTAGTCTCTAATGCTTTCATTATGGCTTGCTCTTCGACGTCTTCGTCGTCATCTACCGCACTTTCTCTCCTAGCCTCTTTTAGTGATTTCCTTTCTTCTTTTATCTTGGTTATAGTTTTTCTTTTTTTGGCCTCTTTTTCCAATTTTCTTAAGATATAAATCAATTATTTATTTATTATATAACTAAGATTCTGTTAAGAAATATTATCATCAACTAAAAATAACGCTAAAGAACGTAGAAGCGATGTTTATACATACAAACAAACTGAAATAAATTAATTTTTAATCGCTAATGAAGAGAGTAACACAATATACGTACAATGAAAATTTGCAAAATTAAATGAAATTATAACAGTATATATATATACGTAACTTTATCCAGCACTTAAACTGAACGAATAACTCAAACTCCCGGTCTACGGTGCTCTCTTTCTATTTCCCTCTCTCCGTGTTTTCCTTTCTTTGTCTCTCTCTTCTCCCTATCTCTATCTCTCTTTCTTTCAAACCTCTTTTCTGCCTAGTTAGCTCTATTCGCTCTATTTGGGAATATTAGCATGTAGTCATTAACTATTGTGTTTCCTAAGCAGGAATTATTTCTCGAAAGGATGATGCGATGTATTCCCAGGCTGGTCGTAGCAAAAACTTTGAGCCCGTTTTTTAAATCCTTATTTACATCATTCTTCGTTGTAAGGCCTTGGCTAATGTGGTCTGCGGTTTCCTTCCGATAAAATGGCCAATGGTTATTCGTTGACATTCGCGAAATAGTTAAGTACATAGCCTCAAGCTCTTCTAGGAAACGTCCTGTCAAGTGATTTCAAGTCAAGTTCAACGTCCAGTCTCCGCATCATGCAACTCTCCGATGCATTGTGACACAACCACTTGGAACCTTGTACACTTTCTTTTGAATTCTTCGCTTAGAGGAAATTTTCTGGTGATGACACTTCATTTTTTTAAAAAAATATGAATAATTTGCAAACTTTATTAAAGCGTACACCGTTTATACAATAAAGTAATAGATGCTGACAGGTTGAGATGATAAAAAAAATTAAAACAAATGCTGTGGTAACATAACCTCCAAACAATGAAATGAAAATTAGACGTCTCCGTGACAATAATTTGCGTTAAACGGCTTCCTTTCTGACATTTTTTTTTTTAACTTAAACCGCTGTAGCTGTTAAGTCAAGTCGAAATTTAACCTTGTGCTGAAGAAAGCCTTTTTACTAGCGTTCATTTCTTTCTGCTTTTTACGCTCTCTTTGTTGTACATAGTCTTGTTTTAATAACCATAAAGTAACTTTGTAATGAAAAAACAATTTTTAATTTTTTTTTTTTAAGATTTTGTTGTTTTCACCGAAAAACAAGCAATTTTTCGTAGCAAAAAAAAAAAGAAAAAAAAATATCCGATTAAAAATAACTGAATGAATTTATACAATTTAATGTGAAACGAAAAAAAGAAAAGATATAGAAGAAGACCGATATAGAAGGCAAAGAGAAAAAGTCTCTTATCGCTTGGTTTAAAATTTATGGTAAAACGAAAAACCGAAAAAAGCGAGAAGTGAACGATGCATAGCTCTTTGTTGAATACGATATTAAAAAGTGATTGCCACAAAAGAGATAGGTTAGGGGGGTGTGGGTGTGGGGCAAAAAAAAAAAAGAAAGAGGATAAATATGAGGCACAGGACGAAGAGGGAAAGTTATGATTGCAAAGTCTATATATTGTACAAATAAATTTACATACATACAAATGTTTATACGGTTGGCAGTATTTGTTTAAAACACGATGCTAAAGCAATGATAAAAGACGGGAAAAATTAAAGAGAAAACAACGAAAATTTTTTAAAAGGATAACAAAAAAAAAAAAAAAGAAAAAAGAAAAAACCGGCAATAAAAACAGAAAAGCATTTAATAAATGAAGAAACACAAAAAGCCAATGATGGTCAACAAAAATAAAAAGGAAACAAAAAAAAAAAAAAAAATGCCAACAAATCCAAAACGGATCAGAACAAAAGCTTTACAAAGACAAAAAAAAAAACAAGAAAAAAGGAATTGAAATTTCGCTTTAAATACTTTTTTTGTTTAAGTGCCTTTAAACGAAATTCCGATGGTTTCGACAATTCTAATAGGCCAGGACCAGAATCTTTAATTTCGGTGGAAACGCTAACATCAGCATGCGGCCCCTCATGGCCTTCCATTCGTTTCTGTTCCATCAGTTTTGGTTCCCGAAATTGAAATCGTATTGCTGGCTTGAAAATCTGCAACAAAAAAAGAAAAAATGACCAGCATATACGCAGAAAGCTTTAATATTGAATTGTAATTTTTTAATGTGGAAATCATCCCCGCCAGTGCATATTAATACTTGGAAATTGTTAGTGCAGAGAAGAATTTTATCTTAAATTTTAAATGCTTTTTTTTTTATAACCACATTTTAATTAAGTAACTCTGTCTTGACAATGTACAATATAGACAAGCATGCAAAGAGATGTATATCGTTACCAAGAGTATCCAGCTCTGAAGAATGGGGTCATATTCATTGTGTTATCACACAAACGGAAGCTTCAGAAGTCCTATTAAGAGTCTATGCATTCTTGATCGTTATTAAATTCGGAATCGTTTTTAGCCCGTCTCTCTCTCTCTCTCTCTCTCTTTCCCTCTCTCCGCCAATTTCTTGGCCACCAAAACGATCATGTCCGCTCTAAATTTGACAGACATATTGGAAGCTCTTTCAGCTTTTAGATTGGTATTGCAAGTGAGCCAAATTGGCGAAAAAAATCGCTCAAAATCAGTTAAGAATACTTTTGTTTTCTAGGTTGCACTCTCTACTCAGAGACTATACCAGATGCATACAAAAAAATTTTCATAAAAGAGGAAACCCCGTCCACCAAAAATTATCGAGTGGCCAAATTTAATGTCT